TGGTCCCACAGAGAAGGATGGCTTGGCCATGGTTTTCTATTTCCATACCCATCACTAAATACACCAGCAGGAGAGAGCAGTTGGATTCCACCTCACCTCCTGCAACAAAGCTTCGGACATCCTAGAAAGCCTGGGTTAGCACCTAGCAATATTAGGATGGGCTTTCACCCGTGACAGAAGTTTCCTCTTCTCTCCCACCCTGGACCTACCCAAGCCCCCAGCCAACACGAGCCTTCCCGGCATTAAACATTCTGCCTTTTTGTTCCTGACAGCTTCGCCACTTCACTCCCTTAATTGTCAAGATATGAATTTGTGCAGGATACACAGTTATTTTAATCTGTTAAGTGGCTCTGCTGCTATAAAACTGTCAGGAATTTAATATCTGGAGACTGTCAGCTGAGCTCCAGGTGCCGAGGCTTTCTAGCCGGCGATGATGCAGAAGGAAGCGCAGGCTGGTGCGAGGCACACAAGTGCAAAGCTGGCAAGCGTCCCTCTGCATCAAGGCCCGATCCTGCAGGATGCTGAGCACCTCAGAGCACTCCGAGCAGGCAGTGAGGGTGCTGAGCCTCCCGTCATCTCCCAGGAGCCATCCCCAGCTGCATTTGCACACACTTGGAAAGGGGTTGTTGCACTGTAAACACTCACATGAGCCAAGCTTATCAGGTCACTTCTTTCGATAAAAGGAACCTTTCCTCTGGAGCTTTTCTCCTGCAATGCAGCCCACGATGGCCCCGCTTTCCCTCCAGAGGCTGTCAGCTGTGCTTTAGCCATTCATGGAAATGAAGAGAAACAAAAACCCCAAACCCAACATAAAGCATCTTCCCACTCCTCCTGCACACGCTGCTGGTCCCAGGTGCCAGAGCCCAGACCCCCTGCCAGCCCCTCACTGCTCCCCCACTTGGGTCTGACATGGATTCACCAGGTGAAGGAGAGGAGATGACCCAGGGGCTGTCACCTCCTCCAGCACAAGCTGGGGGAGCTGGCACACAAGCGAAGCATCGCGGCAGAGACAGCCACACGTACTCCTCACAAATCAATTTGGGAATTCGCTTGTAATTAATCCTGTGTATCAGTTCCCCTCATTATTTCTTAATGTAATTAAGTTATTAATTTAGATGTCCTGTTCCCCCCTCTTTCCCAAAGCAAAGCAAAGGGCTGCATCAGAGGGAAGCAGGGGAGAAGCCAGGTAGCATTGTGATACCGTAAACCCAGATTACCGGAGCACGTACCAAGCCCTAGCGCTGCCTCCCTGTGTGACTTCAGGTGGGTCACTGACAGCCTGATTTTCCAAGAGGGTTGAGTGACTCCAATTCCTCTGGAGTTAAGGAGAACCTGAAGGATACAAAGTTCAATTAACCTCCCCGGGTCCCAGTTTATCCAGCCGGAAAACTGCAGGCAGGGACACAGCCTGGAAATAATTAAAGCTTGCAAAGTATCTCAAAACCCTCCACCAAAAGGCAGGGAGAGCAGGAGGCATGGATGAGTCCCAGCTGATCCGTAACCCCGACCAGCCCCACGGACCTTACACCCTCATCCATCAGACCCGATTCTGCTGCAGGCTGAGCCCATGGCTGCTAACCGGGCACCGAGCCAGCCACGAGGGCAACACACCCAGGCAGCGGCACGCACGCTGCTACAGCTCCTCTTCTCTGCCAATTTACAGGACTTTATAAAGGGCAGGCAAAGGGCAAGGGCAGGTTTTCCTCCTGCTCTAATAGGACTTGATCTGCCCTTTGGAAAAGGGAAAATAAAGACAGCCAAACTCCAAGTGACGGCAGCAATAACAGCACTGGATGGACTGGGGAAGCTGTCCCAGGAACAGCTTCATAGTGCTAAATGGTGATGATTTGCTTCCATGCTCTACCAGCCCTGCAAGGTTACTACACCCCACGCCAGGAGGGAATCACACACCCTAAAACTCAGCCTCAGCCTGCTCCAGCTGCCCCGGCACATACGCCAGCAGCAGGGGTGGGGAGGAGGAGGAGGGAAAGGGAGTGACAGGGATTGAGGAGAGCAAGGGCTGTCAAGAAAAGGGTCCTCCAAGCCTGCCAGCCACGGCGCAATGGTGAGAGATGCACAGATATGGGATTAGAGGGGAAAACAGGATAAAAAGAAGGGGAGGGAGGTGAAGCCAGTTTAATTACAGTAGACAGCTGCGCCTGCCTCGTGGGCACGAGCAGCTTGGGAGAGCTCAGCTACTGCTGTCGGACCTGTCCCAGACACCCGCCTGCGCCAGGGCGCAAGAGACCAAGCCACAGCGTGCTTCAGGGGTAGGCAGGACCCCTCACACCAAGGACCTACTCCTCAGAGACCTCGCTAACCCCAACCCAGGGCTCTCCAGCTATAGGAAAAAGCATCCCAAACCTTGCTGAGCACCGGACCTGGTGCAGGGTTTGGGATTAAAGGGAGAGGAAGGCACAGACCAAAATAACAGTGGTGGATGGGCAACCCCTCTGCACAGCCAAGGGTGGCAGCCCTGTGAGCAGCAGCAATGCTGCCTGCCCTTGGCAAGCCACCAACACGAGCTCGGGCACCGCTGCTTTCCAGCATCAGACACGTGCCGTGAGCCCTGCCAGGACACAGCGCGGGCAGGAGGAGGCATTACCAGCTGGAGCCTAACTAGGAGGGTCTAAAGGTTAAATCCACACGAGGGGTGATATATGGTACACATATGGCTGCAGAAATAATGCTTGACAGAGAGAAGGCAGAAAGGAGAGGGGGGAGGTAGAAGCAAACACATCAGAAAACACTGCCAGGAAAGTTGATGTGGATTTGTTCCATTTCTTCACCGCTGCTGCATTACAAAGTTTGCACTGCTGTTAGAAACCTGCTACCTCCGCTCCTTTCTCAAGGAACCTGGGAGGACAAACTCTAACTGCTTGAGTTTTCACCAATGGCAGCCAGTCCACAGGAATGCATCGCCAGGCTTCTCTCCAGGCTGCAGCATCCCAGCCTCTGGTACCCACAACAGCTCTGCACCCATCCAGAAGGGTTAACCAAAGTGATACCACCTTTGCACGCTCACAACCAGCTTATAATACACAGACTGGTTTGGGTTGGAATGGACCTTAAAACTCATCCAGTTCCAACCCCTGCCACAGGCAGGGACACCTTCCGCTAGAGCAGGTTGCTCAAAGTCCTGTCCAGCCTGGCCTTAATTCACACTGCTCAAAAGCAATTTCCAAAGCCAAAAAATGTAATGCATTAAATAGAAGAAGAAAAATAAAAAGACTCTGCACTCTATGGATCTCCAGGGGACACAACTGTTTTGATGGAAAATTCAGAGGAAATGAAGGAGAGGTGATTTTTGCAGTCAGATTGCTGGAGTTACGGCAACTTGGCAGTTGCAGCTTCGAAACTTGGGGGCCTGAGCCTGCATGATGGGAGAAGTTTGCTTTGCCAGCTGTGGGAGCGCAGCCCGGACCCTAACAGATGAGCCTCGCATAGGAGGGGGGAGTTAAAATGGGCAGCAATTCAGCTGCAGCTGATGCGAAGGGAGAAGCAAAGTTCATTTGAAGGAGAGCACAGGAGCTCTCATCAAACAGGGCAGGTCTCATTCTGCAATTCTTAAGCACACAGTTCTGGCAGAAACCTACTAACACCGAAGCATCATTATGGTTAAGAAAGCACTTGTTTAACAACTCCGTTTCCAGTGAGTTATTGCCTCCCCCTGCTTAAATAAATAAATAAATGCATCTATAATTATTTATTTTCAGGCCTGAAATTGCATAGATTCATTCCCCTTTGCTAGGATTGAAAGGTTTCTGAAAGCCTGAGAAATACCTCCTCCATCATTTTTAGTTAAGAAACATGGAAAACCAATAATTCCTCAGGATGAAAAAATCAAAGCAAGCTTTATGAGCTCTGACTTCCCCCCCCCCCCCCCCCAAATCATTAATTCAGTTGCAGAGGTGACACATACATGAGGCTCTCCAAAGACCTGCCCAACACATACTGTTGCCTTATGTCACAGGCCAAAGGCTCAGCTGTGTGTCACTGGTGCAAAAAAGGGCTGAGGGCTCACAGTCTTCCTCTGCCACAATAACACTGAACCACAGAATCATTAGGGTTGGAAGGGAGCTCTGGAGATCATCTAACCCTTAATGTCAGCAGATTTTCACGACCTGGGCTTTACCCCCATTAATATTCAAGATTTACAACTGTATAACTAAGAGCAGCATCCAACCCATGTCCTCAGGAAAGTTAACCCTCAGCTAAGCTTGTTAGAGAGGAGAGGACACGGGACCTTGCTCCAGAGGAGCTGCTTGCAGCTCCCCTGCTTTTCGCAGCGGCTGGGCAGCAAAACTCCTCCGTTTCACTCTGTGTTGAGTGGGATGCTCCTTACATCTGCCCTATGCTGGTACCCCCTGGACCCAAACATGACACACAAACAACGCGATGGCAAATGTACCCTTTCTTCCACACAGGCTGAGACCCACAGGGCAGCACTCCTCCTGCCCTGCAGCTCTGCCACGGAGCACCCAAACGTTCTCCATCTGCTCCCCTCTCCGCGACAGGATTGTTGGAGCCCTTCTTTTGTGTGGGGGGGGGGGGGCTCGGAAGCACTGCGTGACCCACAGCGGAAAGCAGTCGCCTGTCCCCTATGGGGGACATAAAACACGCGCCGGTCTTCCGCCTCCAGGGACCTAAGGCCCTAAGCGAGGGATGCTCAGAGTTGGCGGCGGGGCAGAGGACCGGTCCCCGAGCCTCGGGGAACCACGACGGCTGCGGCCCCCGCTGAACGAGGGACGGGGAGAGGAAGGGGAGCAGATGGGGCTGTCCCTGCCAGAGGCTGCGCGGAGGAGAAGGGCACCGCGACCGGGAGGGGGTAAGGAAAGTGCCCGAACCCCCCCCCCGGGCACAGAGCCGGTGCAAAACTTTAAGGGCAGCGCTACGGGGCGGGGGTCCCGAAAACCGCCGGGAACTTCTTCCCCGGGCAGCTGCTGCGTGCCCTGCCCGCCGGCTGCATCCCAACGGGATGGCCCCGGCCCCTTCCTTACCTCCGGCGTGCGCTCCTCGGCTCCCGCCGCCTCCAACTTCCTCCTCGCCCCGAAGAAGAAGAGGAGGAGGGCGGCGAGCCAGAGCACCCCCAGCAGAGACAGCGCCAGCCGCCGCGTCGGCCGCCTCATCACCCTGGGGAGCGGGGGAAAAGTCCGGTTGAGAAGGGGGATGAAGGGCGGTGGGAGCCTCCAGGCAGCGGGGCTAAGAGAGGAGCGGGGTCTCGCCTGCCCGCCTCGGAGCCGGCGATGCGAGTCCCGGGCTGTGCATGCTCTGCAGGGGAGGGGAGGAGGAAGAGGAGGAGGAGAAGGAGGCGCCGGGAGGAGGGGGGCTGGAGCCGCTCGCCGAAGGTAGGTGCTGTGCGCAGGGAGCCGAGCCGGGCAGGCCCCCCCCCGGCGGAAGGTGCGGGGCCGTGCTGCTGCCCTGCCCGCTGGAAGCAGCCTCTCAGGGGCACGGAGCGCTCTGGCGTGCGGGGGGATAACCGGGACACCCGTCTCTTGACCCCCTTTCACAGTGCTTGGGTCCAGGCCACTTCCCCCCCCCCGCGCCTCTGCGAAGTCGGTCCCGGTCCCCGTCCCCATCCCGGGGCAAGGGGAAGCCAGCGCTCAACAGCACACAGAGGAGGCTCAGACATGATGGGAAGATTAATTTATCCAATTGAAGCAGCAGGGGGAATTCAGGTAGGTGGAATTTAATTACTGGATTTGGAAGAGAAGATGTGAGCCTCCGGAGCTGTCAAGAGCACTTAAAAAATAAAATCATAATCATCATGCTGTTGGTATGCTGGCAGCAGCTCGGTGCCGGGCTGTGGTCCTGCAGGAACAGCCCTCAGCCATCATCCCTGTCCTGTGGGGTGATCCTTGTTGGCTCCGCACACAGCCCCGTGGCAGCCAAAGTGGGAATTACAGACATTGCTAGGAGAGGAAAATAAAACCAAGAGCGAGACTCCAGCAAGGAGCTGCGTTCACCGAGCTGTCCCTGCTCACCTGCCTCACTCACTGCTTTTCCAATCCTGCCACTGACAACTATTGCACAAGCTGAGCAACCCCATGCAGAAGACATTAGAGGATAAATTAAGTATTGGAGCAGATGTGAGTCATTCATGTTAGTACAAAAAGTATAGAACAAACCCCATAAAAACAGGAATCCATGCATAAAGTAACATATGGAATGAAACAGAGATAAGATGTCAAATGCTGGAAAGTCCGATGCACATGTTGTAAACAACCTCTTCCATGCATTTCCCACACACTCCTCCTGGTTTTATTATTTCCTGCAGTTGTTTTCTGTCACTTGCTAATTTATCATTTGCCATCTTCATCCTCTGTCCTCCTCTGATTTATTTCCAGGGCTCAGTAAGCCCTTCTCCCCCAACATCATCCATGCCTCTCAGGCCCAACATTCACACAGAGATACCCAGATAAAAATTTCATTAGCATCCACAAGAAGGGGCATTTCTTTCTGTTTTAAGGGCATCTGACTCTGAAATGTCTTTACCAGAATGATGATTCCAGCTCCAGAGGAGGCTAGGATGAACTTGTTTACTACAACTAACAAACTAACCAGGCTGGGAGGAAGAACTCAGCCCTGGTGGCACATGTTAATCCCCTGAAAAGCCACTTTCTGATGTGCATCACTTGTCACCCAATGAACCCTTCCTCCGTAGCTTGCATCCAGGTAGGCATGAGCAACAGCTTGTGGGAATAGAAAAACACCTGCATCCAGCTGCAGGTGACTCCATAGGCTGGGCAGAGACCTCTCGGCCCGAGAGGTCTCTGCCCAGCCTAGGAGTCACCTGCAGCTGGATGCAGGTGTTTTTCTATTCCCCAAACTGTTGCTCCATGCTTCCTGCTGAAAGCTAAGGAGAAGCACCTGAGCAGCTGAGGCACATCAGCAGTGGCTTTTCACCTGGCTTGTAGCTGTTGTTTTAACCTTGTGCCCACCCCAGCTATTGACACAGCCTGGTTATTGCCTCTCATGTACATCCATCTAGCCCCTTTGGAGCAGGAATGGCTTTCTGGCCATTCTTATCACAGGTAGAAAGTAGCTGCTGGTGCTTTCCTGGCTGGGATGAAGTGCTCTCAGCACTGTAACATAGTGTTGCCCTAGCACGTTTGCAGAGGGTGCTGAGCTTTTCCAACCAGACCTCTCTCTGTGCTAGGAGAGCTTTTCCAGATAAGGGCACCTGGGGAGGTGTTATCATTCAAAGCTGGATTAAAAACCTTGTCTTTTTTTTGTAGATCAAGCTTTCAGCGGAAGTTATTAAAAAATACAGGGGAGAAATATAGAAAATATCAGGGAAATACATTACAAATTAGATTACAGGTGAGGTAATAAATAGGAGATACCTGACAAAAATGCAATCAGATAACGCTATCTTATTACCTTGAGAAACAACTCCCTCTGCTGAGAGAAAGCTTTATTGGCAGGGCTCGGCGCTGTGATGAACAGCCTGCTGTGCCCGTCGCAGACAACGGGCAAAGGCCGGGCTCCTCCCCGCTGGCACTGCTGGTACATCAGCGAGGGGCGACACTGTAGGACCCCGGGACTGATGGAGCCCTTGGCTGCTCTGTGCAGCGGTCCTGTGGTGAAACAAGAGGTTCTTCAGCCTGAAGAAGGAAAGGCTGCAGAGGGACAATAGAGCAGCTTCCAGTGACTAAAGGGGGCCTATAAGAAAGGGTACGAGGGCCTGTAGTGACAGAACAAGGGGAATGACTTTAAACTGACAGAGGGGAGATTTAGATGAGACATTAGGATGAAATTCTTCCCTGTGAGGGTGCTGAGGTGCTGGAACAGGGCGCCTAGAGAAGCTGTGGCTGCCCCATCCCTGGCAGTGTTCAAGGCCAGGTTGGACCTCAGGGGCTTGGGGCAACCTGGTCCACTGGAACGCATCCCTGCCTGTGGATCTGGGTGATCTTTAAGGTGCCTTCCAGCCCAAACTATTCTGTGCTTTTATGTTTTGAGCTCTAGCAATGCATACGATCTAAAAGAAGGATATTCCTCCTGACTGTGTGCTGGGACAGATAATATATCAAGCAGGTGACGGTAACATCTATTTAAACAAGAACAAGGTGAGAGTACAAATCTGGAGGTTCAGAGTTATTTGAAGTCACAGACTTTCAGAGACTCGTATAAAAATCCTACTGCAATTCCATTAAAACCGTGGCAATAAAACCTATCTTCTGTTGTATTATGTAGCCAAATCTTCCCCATTTTTCTCAGTTCTCAACTGCCAGTCTCAGATGCTTCACAAGTGGGGTCCATAACGTACTACCTGTTTCCAAGGTAGAAAAATTTAAGGCCAGAAGTACAACCAGACACAGAAAAAACAGTCTAGGAAATGGATATTTAGCATTTGTTGGTATCAGCATTGCAAAGCTGATGAAAGCGACTGTTTTCGTGAGAGCAAAACCAGGACATCCTTTCTCAGTGGAAGAGGGACTTCTCACAGTTACAGCCTCAGGGGATGGCCCTTTGAGGTCCTGCCTTTAAGGAAAGGGCAGTAGGGGAAAGTAGCTCTCCTTGCTATTTGAGGAGCATCTATAAAGGGAGTTTCCACTCACCAGGTCTACAAACCAGCTGGGCTCTGCTTTAGGAATACCCCTGGGTTTGGTTTGATTCACATCTGAGAAGAGAGAAAACACATCCACAGAGAAAAAAAACACATTTCTTTTCCCAAGGGACCACAAAGTTTGTTGTTTGTTCTGGGAAAGCTGGAACGGGCTTATATTGATACACTCAAGAAGTGATCAAAGGGAAGGATCAAAATCTACCCCCTGTTGCTGAGGGGTCTCAGCTGAACATCACAGGCAGATGCAACAACACTGAGCTCTGGTTGAAAAGGGGCATTTAGGACATGGGGCCTCTCTGCCAGGGGAGGGTCTGGTATAGGCAGGGGTTTTGGCAGCTCAGCTCTCACTGCTGCTTATGGCAGCGTACCTTCCCTACAAAGAGGTGCTGCTTGTGATAGCACATACAACAGAAGGGATATGCTTGTTTGCAAAGCTGAGACCAGTGTTTGAAAGGGTCATCAGAGTCATGTGTGGTTACATAGACAGATGGATTTCATTCACTGGTACCTTTGTGGCCCCTGCTCCAGGCTTGAGAAGGAAGCTAATACAGAAGTTTCTCTCCCCATCCTGTGCTGCATTTACTGGATGTAACCACGCTGAGGCCAGTGCCAGCAGGGGATGAAGAGCACATCGAGCTGCTCCCAAATAGCTGTTTTGGCAAGTGCGGAGCATCGGTATGTTTCACAAGAAGCCCAGCTCTGCCTCATCACCCAGCTGTTAAGGTGCCAGCCCGGGTGCAGGGCCTTGGGGAGAGCAAGCCAACACATGCCCCTGGCCCAGACACCATCCTGACAGCCCCAGCCTGCTCCCAGGGAGTGACTCAGAGCCGCTCGCCTCTTGTCTAGCAGTGGAGCTGTGCTTCGGATGCAGTCACACCGGTGACTCTTCCAGGCTTATATTTAACACAGGAACAAGAATCCCTTTTTGGATTTGCAGCTGTTCAAGGAGCATTCGGGTCGCTTGGTCTGCTCCCAGTCCAGTCAGCGTGGGCAGAAGGAGGGAGAAGCCAGCAAGTCCTTTGCACAGGAGCAAGGGGAGATTGTTGCTTTGCCATGGGGGTTCCCTAGCTCTGCAGCACTTGTCAGCACCATGACTTGGCCCCATGGCATGTCGCTGCAAGGGTACCAGAGTGTACGGAGCTGGGGGTTCCTAGCCACAGCTACCATCACACAGCCTTCAGGGTCGTCAGTGGCAGCAAGGACACTCTGCCGTCTCCATCAGTACCCCATCTTCTCAAAAAGCAGCTTCCATGAAAGCTGCTGAAGGTACCGTGAACATTATCCCGCAGGTTTGTGGCAGGCAAGCTCTGCTATAAAAGGGATACAAAGAAAAAAAGACCAGTGCTTATGCTGAACAATGTCTCCCTGTGTGCCCTCAGAGAAGACCACAAATGTTAGAGACAGCTCTGGCCTAATACCACGAGAATTGTTAAGTTAAAGTTCTTAGAACAGAAAATAAATGGAAAAGCTTTATAGTTGTCTCTCTCCTTTCCCTCTCTGATGTAACAGAACTGCAGCTTGTCCTATATCTACAGCCTAAAACTGGAGGGTCAAACTGTGAAGCACTCACCTTCTCCGTTTGGGTGATGATATCACTCTGCGGCTCCTCACCTACTGCTGCAATTAGAAAGGGAAAAGGAGGAATTCCTGCAGGATTGTGGCCACTTCTGGGTTGCAATCAGATCTTTTTCAGGAGCTGCAAAGGGTTTGTTTTCTTTTTAATTAAACTGCAAGGGTTGTTCCCTAGCAAACTTTCCATGATGACATCTCCAGTTAATTAAAGGTTTAAGCTGATGGGAAATGTTATGCATAAGAAAATAAAATAAAGAGGAGAGCCACTTTAATAGCATTTGTTAATTGAAGTTCCCATCGAGTCAGCTGCAGGAAGACAAGCTGTTCCTTCAGTAGATGGGCACCAGCACAGACCCAGATGTTCGCCTGCAGCTCCTGGAAGTCAGGCTCCCACCTTCAGCCTAGCTGGTGTGGCACCAATGGATGAAGCAGCGCTGAGCTCACTCACCACTGGGACAAACACAAAGACTTCTCCACAGTCAGACTGGGTGAGGGCAGGAGGAATTGTTGCCTATCACAAGGCATTACATCTTTCATCTTTAGCAACTGCCACCCACTTGCACTTGTGTTTAATTCACCTTCTCCCCAGCCTTCATCTCCATTTGCTGCAGCACAGGTTTTTCTGGATTAGATTCTGCCTTTTCGCTATCTCCCAGCATTTCCAGGTACCCAACAGTGCCAGTACAAGCAGGTGTGGGAACAACGGCCAGAGCAATGGGAGATACGAAGTGAGACACATTAACTTAAGCATATGGCTAGAGGACATACTAGGGAACACAAGAACAGATCCCTTGGGCAGTGCTCTTCCACTGTGACCACCGTCAGTACTGTTCACTGCTTGCTTTTGACCAGCCCTGCTTTTACGCATCTTATTGCCACAATAGAGTTAAGGCTTCTGGGTCCTGTCTCCAGCTGCCTCTGGTGGTTGATAGCCTCTCCTGATGCTTTCCAACACAGGCATTTTCTGGGAAAAGCCCATGGATAAATGAAGGCTGCTGATCCCATGTGTTTGGAGCATTTTGGCTGGGGAAGCTCTTTAGCTCCAGGTCACTGCATCAGCAACCAGTGGCAGCCACTGCAAATGGCCACAACAGAGCACTTGGGACAAAAGGCAGCAGATAGCTTCATGGGTCAAGTCACAGCAAAGGACCGACAGCAAACATAGCACAGATGGATCTTTACCAGCAGCACCTGAGTCTCTAAGGTCCTGGGCACCCTACAGGCCTCAGCACCCAGTGAACCCCAGTGCTGCTGTATCTCTGTACAGGAGAAGCAGAGCTGCTCAGCTGCCTCCCAAGGAGATGCGCTCTACGTGCATGCACGCATGTGCACACACACCCATCCGTCGTTAAGGAAGTGGAGAAACCTGCTAGAATTCAGACCAAACCCTTCTGTTACTCTTCATATGCTAAATCAGTCCCGCTGGCCAGCTGCAGGAATATGTCCCCTGCATGTGTTCAAGCCCATAATTGTGGTTAGGACAGGTCACACTCAACAGAATAAAGAACAAGTCAGGTGACGGGTGAGAGAACACATTAGCCAAAATAAAGCTTTGTCCTTAAAGCACCTTTATTGCCTCTGTCTTTTTGTGTGCAGGTGTTAAGCAGGCTTTAGAGCCAAATCTCTACTTGTGGGATATGTAAGTATGGCCTGATGCCAACTGGGGTCTAAGCATTTATTAACACAGCTGGCAACATGTAATACTGCACCAGACGTTTTGTGGGAAGGAGCATTTTCACAGCTGGATGAGAAGTTTTACCCTGTTCTCCCTCCTGGAAAATTTTCCATAGGAAAAATTCTTGACTGTTCATCCCTCCCCTCTCCTGAGGGATCCAAAACCTGAAGGGGGTGAGCCACACTCCCCCAGCTTCTTAAGATCTCAATCCTATCATTTAGGTGAAGTGCCTAGGAATAGACATTTCTTCCAAACACAATCCAACACTTGAAGTATAAAGACATGGTGATCTATATTTGATCAGGCAATCTCTTGCTCTCAAAACTAAAGCTCCAAGGGGCTAACAACTAACCCTACATCCCCTGAAAAACAGGTGAAAGCAAATAGTTATTCTGTGCAGAAAGGGTGAAGAATGCCAAGGTCTATGCTTGCTCCATGTGGATCTTCCCATGAGATCCACTGTGATCTCCTACATGAGAACACAAGCTGCAAATCCTGCTCATCTCCAAGGGAACAACATTCTACCCCGCATGTGCTCAGGTAGATTAACATCTCATCCCATCACCAAATCTCTGCTGTTGTTGATCAGAAAGCAAAGCAGCAGCTAGATTTCCCCACTAGCAGGACAGAATTTCAAGGCTGCTGTTTAGAAAACAAAGTAATGTTTAATTGCACACATTTGTTTTGCTGTTACTGAGCAAGAACAAGTTAGAAGCCCAACAGCATTACTCTTCCTTCCCTGCATAACACCTCATTAATGCATTCAAACCTGTTAGAATTTGTTAGTCCCAGAGGCCCTTCTTGAACCAGAACGATCAATAGATGCAAACAGAGCAGGTAAAGAGGCAATCAGGGTCCTAGAAAGTTCAAATATCTTCCATTAGGACACCATAATAACTTCCCTTGAGCAAGCATTGCAGTAGCTGGTACTACGAGCAAAGGGACATCCCAGGTAGGAGTAACACAGGAGAGGCACGCGAGGAAAGAAACACATCTTGCTTTAACCAGAGCAAAATGTGATCTGGACAGCAAGATGTGCTCCAAACAGCTTGGGCTATTCCATGCAGGAAAGGTATTTCACAGGGAATTGTGCATATGGGAGATAGTTGGAGGAAAGTGCTCCAACGTTTCAGGTTCTGATCTCCACACAGTAATGAGCACACAAGCAGATGATGCATATGCATGAGAATGTAATTAAGACTGGTAAACCTGGAAGATTTTCAAACTCTATGGCAATTACCAACTTAAACACACAAAAAATTAAGATAGCCTTATACCCAAAGGAAAGTTATTATTCAAAGTGCCTTACCTCATTATAGTTAGCTCCAGCTCAAACAGCAGGCTAGTGAGCAGGGGAGAGCTGCCTTCCATTAGCAGCAGGTGCTCTCCCTGGGACAGAGGCAGGACGCTGACATCCTTTTGCTCTTGCCAAGACATCTCAACCGGTCCCAAAATGCTTTATGGGAACAAAAATAGAAAGCAGAGGGAGCGCATGACTGGCAGCTTGGGCTCCCCTGTTGCTCTTTGGGCCTCTCTGGTGAAGAGCATCCATGGACAGGGAGCTACCCTCTGTAAATAGATTCAGTAAATAAATGTGGTAATTATACTAAATATTATTCTCAGTGGAAAGCAGCAGGGAAATGATTTGCATAAGAAATGTGGATTATTCATGTAAATGAATGTGTTATTTGTTTATAGAAAAGATTAAGTCTTGTCTAAAGACCTAGAACTCAGCTATACGTAAAAGCTAACACTTCAAAGAAGGCTCATGCCTTCACTGTGATCTGCCCACCTCCTATCAAATTCATCTTTGCAGGACTAGCTATGCTTTTCTTATCTGTCCATTTTGCTAAAGCTTAGACTCCCCTCAGCGCAGTGGATAGTTAATCTTCTCCAGGGACACTGTTTTAGGTGCCGTTAAAGTATCTTTACAGGCATTCAGACTTTTAATCTTTGTTTCAGCAAGCTGAGTCTAGTGACAGGAGAAAGAGGAGTGGTTTCTGGGTTTGAAGAGCTGTACAAAAAGCCTGGCTTGGGAGAATGGATCCTTTCATTTTCTTCCTCCATGTGCTGGATGCAAGGAGGGGCGAGGTCCTCGGTTGGCTCTGCCCTGTGTAGTCCAGAAGCAGCCTAGAGCAGGGAGGCAATAGGATGTCAGGGCAGGCTAGCATAGCCTTACAGCTCCCAAGAGCTGGGTCACTTATGGAAACAATGTGTGCCCACCTCCCACTGTCTGTGTCACCCCACGTCATGCTCACCACTGGGGTACTTTCATCCCGACACCTGGGCAGTGCAGAAAGGGTTAATCCCATTGCAATCACCTCCTATTAACATCAGGACAACCTCGACCCTCATGGCAGCAATCCCAAGCCCAGTGTTATCCAGGACAGGAGAAACACTGACTTTACACAAAATGCAGAAAGGCACTTTAGCTGATGCTGCAGCACCTTCACCCTGCCACTCACCCCTGCAGAACAGCTAACTCAGCTCCTGGGCCCATGCTGGGAAGGGCATCAGCACCCAGAACAGCCTCTTAGAAGAACAGGTTTACCAAAAATCAGGAGACTTTCTCACTGGACTTTGCCCTCGAAAACCTGCTAACTAGAGGCAAGTCTTAGAGTGGGAAGTGTATCCCGGGCTGCATCAAAAGGTGGTCAAGGGAAGTAATTCCCTTCCTCTAGTCCGCTCTGGTGAGACCCCATCTCTAAAGTACTGTGTTCAGCTCTGGGGTCCTCAGCACAGGAAAGATACGGACCTGTTGAAGCAAGTCCAGAGGAGGCCACAAAGATGCTGTGAGGGCTGGAGCACCTTTGCTTTGGAGACAGGCTGAGAGAACTGGGCTTGTTCAGCCTGGAGAAGAGAAGGCTCCAGCAGACTATAGTAGAAATAGGGGTTCCTTCTACTGGACTCAGCAAGTTATTCTTGCAGCATATTTTTTTCTGTTAATTCATTCCCTAAATTCTTTATGTGCTCAGCTATCTATGTGTTAGTTGGAGAGAGCATCCATTTCTTTTTTTGCATTTGATATAGTTAGCTGTCCAAAACTCAGTGGTTTAAACTCTCAGAAACTTGAGCACATTGGAAAACATTGATCCAGACAATGGAGGCTGTGAAGTGCCCGAGGCTTGCATCTGTGCTGTGCCCTGCACAGGTAGAAAAAACAGGCTGAAGTGTAATTTGAGCTCTCAGTAGTGCTCATCTCAGCTGTTAAAAACCCATGAGCCCTTCGGGTCAAAGTACTTTGGAGATGCTCAGGGTTATTTCTGTTTTCTGTGTTTGCCCAATGAGTGTTGTGAGGCCAGGGGTCATGGTTCTCTACAGTCCCCAAGGACAAGCATCTTACCACGTGGCTCACATTTCTCCACTATCACCACAAGGCAGGCAGCACAATGTAGGTAGAAGTTGGCCACAACGTATGTGCTCAGCACGGGCATCACCTGGGTTTCAGAAAAGGGGTCTGTGACAAGCGTGGATCCGACTTAAAATAAGACTTCCAGTGGTCTGTCCCACCACTCTCATGGATGCAGTCAGACCACAGTGCTGGGATACATAATACGACATGAGCCAGGTCCTGTGCAACTTCAGACATCAGCCAACAACATCTTCAAACAACAGGAGCTAATGTTGATCAGGGGATTGCAGAGAAAACCTTGGCCCTTCAGGTTTAATCTTGTGGTACATGTGCACCCATGCCCTAAGAGTAGGAGACAATTTTAAGACGGGGGTTATGACTCTTCTGAGATGTGTGTAAGATTAAGGCGCACGTAGCAAGAGCGTGTGATGTTGGTTTTGTTTTCTTTTTCCTTTTAAAAGGAAACACAACAGGTGACAATAAACACCCAAGTTACAGAGAAGGGGCAACATAAAATCTCATACCTAAAGCCATGCAGCCCTTCAAGATACTCTGTCCAAAATGATCTGTTGTTGGAAGGGGTGTGCTCGCTGCATGCTCCAAAGCTCTGCATCATCTCCATTTTTAGGGGAAACACACTCACAGGGGGCTGGATCTAGAGTCTTACAGAGCAGGCATGGCCCTGGTTTCTGGAGTGGTATTCCTAGCTGAGACTGGGTTTGAAAGGGTCAGTGGAAAGGGAGGGATAGTGCTCAGGCAAAAAGCCATCATTGCCACTGCTAGCATCCAGGCTGAAAGCACCCAGCTGCTTAAGACCCAATTTCTCACTCATGAGTTCCAGCTCTTCAGCAGCACAGAGCTGCTTTCAAGCAATAAGTGGTTTATGTCTAGCTGCAGTGTATTTATAACAAAGAAATCCTGCTTCTTCCTGAGGAAAAAAAGCTACTTTAGAGCAACTACCTCTTTCATTTCGTCTTGCTTAATGAGCACCAGCTATAGACACCCTTCTCATAGCTACATTTGCAGGAGCATGAGGATCTCCACGTTTCCACAGGGCGCTCAGCTTTTAACCCTTCCCTCCATGAGATGCAAACATGACTTGTTAGAAAAAAAAAGGGTCTTTTTAAAATATGACTCTCCATAGCAATCCACATCATGGGTCTTCTGAATCTGAAAACATAATTCCCACATTTGCTCACAGTAAATATTCCATCAAAATGGGCTTCAGGAGAAAACTGGATTTTTTAATTGCATGCTTTCTTAATAGAGATCCCTTGTGTTAGGTTATGAGGGAAAATGTTCCTCCTCAGCAGCAGTAGCCAAGTCCATTGCCTTTATCTCACAAAACAGCTGAAACTTTGTACAAAACCCAACTTTGCTTTCTGCCTCTTATAGCGAATTTGAGCTCCAAGGACCAACCTGACCATCCAGCTCTAACATTAATAGTAATAAAGGCGACATGTAATTCATAGAATCACAGAATGGTTTGTGCTGGAAGAGACCTTAAAGCTCATCTAGCTCCAAGCCCCTGCTACAGGCAGGGATACCTTCCACTAGAGCAGGTTGCTCCAAGCCCCATTCACCCAAGAATAATTTTCTATGGCACTTCTCACCTCTTCCTCAACAAAAGTTGGAGATAAGCTCAGGCAGAAAGCACTTCTGCCTGGTATCTGCAGCCACTGTAATACCAGGCAGGTGCTTTACAAGTGGCATCTGTCTCTGGCACCACAAGGCTGGGTAGAATTAGTCAGGATTTTGTAGGTTTTTTCCTTTATCTGTGACATGTCAGCTTCCTACATTACATGGCTGATCTGAGCAAAACAAAGGTCTGCCTGCATTGGAAGGGAGTGCGATGGAGACATTCATTTCCCCAGAATAGGTAGTGTAACAAATCAATCCTGACTGCACTGATAAATTGAACTTCAAGCTTGGTGATACTGCTTTTCAGGTCTAATCCAGTGTAAGACACAGCAGGAAGGAAAGGCAAAGGCACTCGTTAGCATTTCATTCTGCAAGGAGCTGCTCCCCTAGCAGGGGAGAAAAAAAGATCATCTTTTTTCCCCTCTTCTTTTTCAGCACAGCATTGCAACTATTCTTGAGGAAGGTGACACAGGGTGCAGGGGTATGTGCAGGGGCTTGCGTGCAGATAGTGAGGTGTACAAGAACTACTCAGTGATTGCTGACCTCGGGATGGGATCATAACTGAAGCTCCTGGATGACAGTGAGAAAGAAACATGGCTTATGGGAAAAACCTGGCTTACAGCAGGATGGGGATTATAGAGCAGCATTGCTTTGGTACACAAAGGAAAGAGGAGCTGCTGGACCGGGCTTCAGGAGACTGAGATCCGGGTCAAGTCTTGACTACAGAGCCCCAGGCTGAACATAGACAGATCGCTCCCCTCAGGCACCGCAGAATCACACAACAGTTTGGGTTGGAAAAGACCTTAAAGCTCATCCATTTCAACCCCCTGCCACAGGGACACCTTCCGCTAGACCAGGCTGCTCCAAGCCCCGTCCAGCCTGGCCTTGAACATTGCCAGGGATGGGACAGCCACAGCTTCTCTGGGCAACCTGTGCCAGTGCCTCAGCACCCTCACAGGGAAGATTTTTTTCCTAGTGTCTCATCTAAATCTCCCCTCTGTCAGTTTAAAACCATTTCCCCTTGCCTTATCCCTACAGGCCCTTGTAAAAAGGCCCTCAACCTTCTGGTCACTGCAAGAAATACTTCTTTTTCCAAGTAGATGGCAAGCCTCAAGTCCTGCTTGCAGGTCACACAGCAGCCAACACCATGGGGACCTGATCTTCCTCCCCTCAACACTGTGGCACTGTACTAATAACAAAGGGGATTTTCTCCCTTAACTTTTCTGAATCTAGATGTAAAAATCATACCTGTGGGAACCTCCAACTTTTCACTCTTCCTCATTGGAGCACAGGGTTGTGTTCAGCCAGAGGCCAGCAGGACTAACACTGGGAAAAAAGTGTCCGTAGGCCTCTGTGTTGGGGCAGAAAGCTTGAAACATTGGCCTGAAAAGTTCACAAAGGAAACAGAAACACTTCAGGTCTCCAAATTTTGAAATTCCATTGATTCGAATTGAGCCTCCTGGTGGGTTGCAGGACTAGAAAGGAGGTGAGCAAGGACTCTTTGGTGGACACTTGGATTTGGCAGTGGTTTTAACTCCATGTTCCCATGTTGTCTCTTGACTCCCATCGCTGCCCTGTGCAAAGGTCTGTGCCACTGCAACACCTTGCACCCACTCTGCTCAGTGGCCAGCCTCTGGATGCTGCCTGCCCTGGGAAACAGGCTTTTCCTTCCAAAAGCTTCAGAGTCCTCATTTTTAGGGCTCCAGTGCAATGAAAACTTGCCCTTTAGAGGTCCTTTTTCTGGGTCATGGAGTTAGGATCACACATACTGCTTAATAATTAAAAACAAAGCAACATTATTCATTCTACATGGAGAATCTCATAATATGGTCAAAGTCCACTGGCACAGCTTGGCCAGCCCTGACACTGCTTTGTGCAGTAGCCACTTATATGAATGTAACACCTCTCTGCAAAGAACTGGAATGTGCTCTTAGGGAAGGCAGGAGTCTTGCTGGCCCCACTGTAAAATTGGTGAAGAGATATGACTTCAGACAGAGAACTATACTTCAGTGTCTCAACAGTACGTAGACCTTCAAATTTTAATTGACTGCCCAGAAAGAAATATACAGATAGGCAGAAATGCTCATCTGAAACCTGGACCAGGTTGGTATCTCTCCAAAGGTGGTCATCCCTACCTGTCCAAAGGCAAGAACCCCATCATCTTGATTTGGATGACTTATCTTGGGGTAATTTGTCCCCAGGGGACAGCTCTTCCCTTTTTACCTGAAGCCAGATGTCAGGTCTCTGACACAGCTCTTACCTGAGGCCGTGAGCACTCCAGCCGTGCTTGTCATTCCTTTAAGTCTTAGACCCTTTTTGAATCCTGTGAAGCTTGAGAGTAGAGCCTGTCTTCTTGCCATCTGGACAGAAATCCTGACCATGCAGAATGCACGCAGTGAAGCCGACAGGCACCTGCTGTACCCTGACTGCAAACTAAACGTGTGCACCAACTCCATCCAGGAAAAACGAAATAATTCCAGTTGTGTGTGTGTGTATCTTGTGGCAATAAGCTCTAGCTGAACATTTTGTTTGCAAAGGTTTGATCAGTTCCTTTCAATTTCACCTCAGTCTTACTGTTACAGTATACTTCATCATCCAGCTCCCCTTCTCATTCAAGCCATTATTTGCTGTTCTTGTTATTTGCACCTGCCTTTTCCAAAAACGACCTTTATTAGCAACACTAGTCTCAAGCTGCAGCCCCACTTCTCTTTCATTTCTCCTAGAGCAATACCACCCACTGCAAAGCTCAGCATCTCTATAAACACTGTGGATACAAACAAATGCATCCTTCAGCAGCCTTTTAGACCATTTTTTCCACAATGCACGTTGTAAATGAGGAGTAATACATCTTCAGAATTGCCCAGAAAACGTTATTCTGATAGCAATATAAAAGTCTCACAGTGTCCGAGTAGGTGCCCTTGCCAAAAACATTTTATTGTGAGCCAAATAATTCAGTTTGAATTGTACACAGTTTGGTCTGATCATTCCAGTAAAGCATTCTTTACAATTCTGTAACAGCAAGTCACATGGCTCAATAAAGTTTATTGCTGCAAATGCTTAGTGATTCATGGCATGGATGAATTCTGTTTCTTTCCTGGATCAAGTAATCAATAGCAAAATAATCTGCCTGCAATTACATTGCTCTGCATTAAAGAGGTGTGAAGTAAATAACTACAAAATCTGATTTGAAAAAAAAATATGTACAACATTATTAATGAACTGCAATTTGAAACTGGGTGTCCTGCACCACAGTTTTGCTCACAGCCTGTGGCAGAGCTACTCCCAGCCTTACATGACTCTTGCTCAGCTGATTACACACATTGTGCAACAAACCCAGTTGGGACTGATAGGTTTCCATCCCTTCACATCCAACAGAGTCCTGCTGTGAACACTCTACACTCACACAAAACCCCCTGGCCATCCCCGTGGGTGCCAGGGACCATCTTTTTTGGAGTGTGCTGAAGCGCAAGGCCTACGCTCCCTCAATCAACTTTTCGGGTTCCTCCAGTGCTGCTCCTGCACACAGTAAATCAGTGTTTATAACATACCCCACTGAGCTGAGTGCAAATTAAATCAGGCTAATATAGCTTGCACCACCGTGTTCAGCTGCAAGCCACAAAAGGAAACAGAGGCATGACAGTTGGGAGAAGGCATGTGCTTTGTGACGGGAGCTGCTAACTGAGCCTCTTCGGCAGCCCAGCAGGACAGCAGCACCACGACACCGCTGCTCAAGGGCTCTGGGTGTCCCTGCTCCCTCCAACCTGCTCTGTTTCCCAGATCTGAACCCTTTGGCTCCAGTGACACCACAGCAGGCCAAGCACAATAGATGATAGATATATCATCTGTAATAAAAAAGTCCAAACACAGCTATCTATTTATCTGGTTCTAACAGTTTTCTCATAAAAACAGAATGAGAATGATACTGTTTAGAAACAGACTGCTCTGGGGAATAAAGTGCACACTGTTGTTTTTACTGTTTAATGCATCCTGACTAGGAACACTTACACGCAATGGGGTTCCTGTCTAAATATGCTTATGCTGTTGCACAGGCTTCAGTGCAGCAGTAAGCACACAGCCGAGTTCAGCCTTTTGCTTGTGTTTACATTCTTATCCACAGTCCACCTCACTCCTGAATCTCATATACACTCTCAAAGGACATTTATGAGATTAAGCACCTTAAAAGTCACAAAAGGCCAGAGGGAAAGCTGCCTATGCAAGCTTAATGTAACTCCTTCCTACAAAGGCATTAGAGTATGGTCTTTCATTATATGCTCATTTCCAGTGGAGCTCTGTTTCATTCAGCGCCCAGACTAAGCTGTGCTCTGGAAAAGAGCCACAATAGTGCTGTCTGCAGGAACAAAGGGAAAAAAAGCCTGTAATAGGCACTCAGTGTGGAAATTTCCAGCAAAGATAAATAAATGGTAAGAAAGTGAAAAAGGATCCCCCAGACAGATGCATCAGGCGACTCCAGCATGGAGTTTGATGTGAATAGTCCTACTTACATGTTCTCTAACGCTGTTCACAGCTACACAGCCGGTTTCCACTATTTAATTAGCTATAACCTACATGTGGCTGCATCACTTAAAAGTACACATACATGCACGCGCGCACACACACTATCTCTCTCATTCTGCTTTATAAGAAGTAACTGACAAATATCCAAATGTTTTACCAGACTGCTCCTGCATCATGCTACAGAGAACATCTACTCCCTGCCAATCCCTGGTGACTTAAAGACAATATGGGATCAGTTGACTTCTCACGATCCTGTACTTTTCAATCTGCACAGAGAACCCACTGCCTTTCTGAGATAAATATACAAACATCACAGCCTCCATCTACAACAAAGAGCTGGAGGCCTGGCTCATCGCTTGGTCAAATCAACTTAGTTTCACTTTAATAGAACTATGTTGACTTCTAAAGGCAAAAGAGACGGTTTGAATGCTTGCAAACCCCTTTTCCAAGTCATGGTTAGGGAAGAGCATTCATTCAAAGAGTTCCCACCCCTTCTTCCTCACAAGCACACAGACTCCTGCCCTCCGCCATGGATTTAGCAGCTGCAGAACTGGGATTTCCTCTGTTAGGCGACAAGCCACTCGTGGCAGGAGCTGTTTCTCTCCCAGGTACAAGAACCCCAGCACCAAGCACAGCAACTCAGCCACTATACTCCATATTGTCACACTGTGCACTCACAGTGGTTGGCATCCAGCAGCCTGTTCCCAGATGGGTTGTCTGAAGTGAAATAGGACTCAAAATAAATACATTAACTAGCAAAACTCCAGTTCACCAAGTCCGTGGTTATTGAGCCAAGTCTGCTTGAGGGGAAGACTCTTCATAAATGGTAAATTGCAGGGCTGAGCCAGAGTGTACAGGAAGTTGATACAAAGCAGCTTTCCTCATCCTGGTACAGGCTTAGTCGTCCCCTCATCTACAGCATTGCTTCAAGAATACAGTGTCATCATCATCCACTGTAAAATAATGGGAAAAGTGGGTTGAACTCATTGATCTCTATGAGAGCTCTGCAATATTCACAAGTGAACTGGACTATGGGGCATTAGAGAACTGTCTCCAGAAGGAGCAGAAGCCAGAATAAGGCAGAAGAGTTGGAAGCCTGAACCTCCTTCTTTGTTACCTAATCTCTTACAGAGAAGGTTAAGATACCTTTTGTTAATGCTACAACATAAAACATGCACTGCACCACTTGCCATGAAGAAGTCTGCATTTGACAGTCTGGGAACAGGCTTTACCTCGGATTCCTGGAGATAAATCCCTTTGCCATCTTGTGTTAAGTTACGAAAGGCTTCTGCAAAAGAAATAAATGAGGAGCATTAACTTGATATCCAAGAGATCAACACCAGCCAAGACTCTGTCTCAGGAAAAGCCTCAAAGGCATAGTTCAGAAGCTATTTGGGAGTGTATGTGAGCTTCTCTGGTCTGTCACTTGAACAACCCTGAAGGCTGGGACACAGAGAGCAGCTGGACAAAGTCAGCCATGTTACTGTCTGTCCATTCAACTGTTAGATCTTGAAAAGCATGTGGCCCAAACCTCATCCTCTACAGCACTGAGACATGTACAAAGTGTCTACAACATGAGCTCACAGACTGAATAACAGCTGTCTCATCATAACTGCAGTCCTACCACAGGTATATTCTAAGGTTCTGTTCTTCCTGGAGAATGAGGAGTCTCCATCTGTAATTCACCTACCTCCTCCTACAAAAGGCTGGTGCAAACCTGCAGGGAACTATACCACTTTGATATGTACAGCCTGACTGTCTGTAGAAAGTGACTGGTGGAAAGATAAAAAAGAGTGCTTGATTTTCTCTGTATCTGTCCCTTGCTTTTAATTGCTTGCTCTTGGTCTATTCAGAAACCCAGTCCTTATTTTGAACTTGCCACTGCCAGATGGAGCAGTGCCAGAACAGCCAGGGCTTAGCTGGGCAGCCTGGCTTGGCTGGCCAACCACATAGCTCCAACCTCACCTCCCACGATCTCCACTCGAAGCATGAAGCACACAAAACTCTCAAAGCGGATCTTTAAGTCAGGGTCACCATATCTGATTGCCATCAAATTACAGACTTCATTGCTGAGAGAAATACCTTCATAAAAGGGAGAAAAAAAAAAGGGGGAGTTGGGGGTGAGAACAGAATGAGATAGCAAGTCTCAGCTGTACACAGCTGAATGACGATCATTCCAGCCCAAAGCAACCTATGATTCTACAAATGTGCACAGCTATGGGTATGCACAGAGCTGTGAGGGTGCACAACTGAGAGGTCTTCAGCCCTTCTCCAACAGTTTGTTTTTGCAGACCTCCCCTACGATAGTCAAATATCAACAGCCCAAACGGGCCATTACGCAGAGATTACATCTCCTTCAAATCTGAAAGGGTTCAGATTTGATGCTCTCACAGAGGAAGTTGGCCAGAGTTGAAATAAAATACACATGGGCACCCTTTGCTCAAGAGGTATGAGGGAGTAACAGCAGCTGTGTTTAAGAGCAATACTCCACAAAAGGATAAGAAAGAAGCTGAAAAATAAAATACAGAGGAAGCTCATAAGAAAGTATCAGTCCCAATGTCAAGCAGCATTTGCAAGGAATAGAAGTATTTTCTATTCATGGCCTGGGATTTTAGTTTGCTTTACCAGAGGTCTCCCTGGGTTTCTCACTGTGTTTGCACTGACTCAGAAGTACTGGGTGAACCACTCACCAAAAAGAACAGTGATATTTAAGCTGTACACATTCAATGAAGCTACAAGACTGAGCATCAGCCCCCACTCAAAGCCCAGTGAGAGCAACAGAGCTTAGTCCAGTATTTGGATCCATATGTACTGTACTCCATTTCTAGATTAAGCTTCAGACATTATATTAGTGAAGTCAGGCACCAGTATTGCCTCTGTGCAAGTCCCACACTTACAGGTTCAATCCCTGAGCTGTCAGCTTCAGCAGAGGTAGCAATTTAATATGAGCTAGATCTGGCCTCCTGTATCCACACAACCCCACACAGTCCTTTACAATTAAATTAGCAATGAACAGGAAGGGATTTAAAAACTGGGTCTAAAATAGACACTTCTGTTTCAGAGAACTATCTATATGAGACCACACTGGGGCAAAAATTAAGTCACCCATCCCACAGCAAAGTAAGTTTCAGATGAGTTTACACAGCTAAAGAGGGAAGCAGAGATGGCTAAAACCATGCAGCCTATGGTGTTTTCCCCTCCTCCCGAGCTCTACCTACAATTCTCAAGATGTTTCCTAGCCCTAGGCTTTTTCTAGCCTTCCTGAGGAAGAGGACTTGCCAAGGTGTGCTGTGGGCTCACCTGTCTCCTGTACAGCTGCATGCAGTTCCGCAAGGTCAAGCTTTCCTGATCTGCTAGTATCTCTTTTCTGGAACACTTCCTGGTGAGAGGAGTATTTTTAAACAAAACAAACTCCCCCAAAATGACAAATGACACCAAAGGGACTGTGAGCAAGGAGATACAGAAAGGGGCCACAGAAATTATTGTTATACCAAATAGAAAAGCAGCCTTTTCCACAGGACTCTGAATTCCTGGATACTCAGCGTGCCAGAGGTGTTCAGCTTTGGGGGAGAATTAAGGTCAGAACATCCCAACTAAATATCAGAGAACATCCATTACATAAAAACCCCAAACAAACCAAACCCTCATGGACACTCTAACAGTCACACAATTATACTATGAGGATAATGATTTCTTAACCCATAAGGCCTATCTATAGGCTTGATCCTCCCCCCACTAAATTCATAGAATCATAGAAAGGTTTGGGTTGGAAAGGACCTTTAGATCATCAAGTTCCAACCCCCCTGCCATGGGCAGTGACACCACACACCAAACCATGTCATCCAAGACTACATCCAGCCTGGCCTTGAACACTGCCAGGGATGGAGCATTCACAACTCTTGGGCAATCTGTTCCAGGGCCTCACCATCCTCACAGTAAAGAGCTGCCTCCTTACATTTAACCTAAACTTCCCCTGTTTAATTTTGAACCATTATCCCTTGTCCTATCACTACAGTCCCTGATGAACAGTCCCTTTCCAGCACCCTTTGTAGGCCCCCTTCAGATACTGGCTGCTAATTTCAGAGGCAGCAGGAATCAACCATTTCCCAAACCAATTCCATTCTGTTACAGCTGAACTGTTAATATGGAGGGTGAGAAGTGCATAGGGCTGTGTCCTGGTGGTAAAGAAATTACAGTAACACCCAGTCTGCCCTAATAAATAATGCTCCAGAAAAACATCACTCATACGAAGGATACATCCAGGAGCGCCAAGATACCCTGGCAGGCATCCAGACTGAAACTCAGGTGAAAACCCTGGAAATCTGGAGAGAAAGAAGAAAGAAAAATTGTTTTGAAGAGTCATTGAACATCTCTCAGAAAAATGGACTCTGACAAAATCCACCCTCACTTGAGAGGGCTCAGGCCCCAAAGCCTTTGTGAAACTTTACACCCACTTGAGAAGATGTATCATTTATGATGATAAAAATATGAGGCTACAGGATGGATTCTACTAGTCGCAGAAAATCCAATATGAGCTCCCTGCAGGCATGTAATACAGAATGAAATATGGTCCACTATCTCCAGCTATTAGAGAAAATGGAAGGAAAGGGACATCCGAAGCTGTAATCCCAAACAGAATTTACTGCATGACCTTGAGCAAAGTCGCTTGACCTGAAGAGCGGTGGGGAGCAGCACTGCAGATTGAAACCCTTGTGCTAATCACCTCCATCTCTCTCTTTCACAGACACACTGCCAGCTTTATTAATATAATTAAAAGTACAGGCATCACTGAAAACATGATGCTGCACCAAAGCTTAGCATTCCCAGTTCATACATAAGTTACACAAAGAGTAACAGAAATAGACTTTAATCCCACTGCAAATCATGATTATAGATTGTCTGTGGACTTCCACTGAGCAAGGGACAGAACCATAACTCACCAACCCCTTCGCTGCAGAAAGTGAAGATGTTTTAATCTTGTAATCGCCCTGTTTAGTAAGTATGAATCAAGTACTGTAAGGTTTTTAAATTAATGTCTTCATATTGATCACTTATGAAAAATGAAGACAGTTTAACATAGTCTTCTCACAGATAAGACAGTGCCTGGCGGGTCACTTTGCAAAGACAGAAGAGCTATCTTTGTCCACCTTCTTGGAAAAGGGAGCAGTGTCAAATTCAGCTTAAGTGGAAAAGGCATCACATAAGTCTTTTGTTTTTCTTTTTTGTTGCCTATAACGGCTGGATGGTGTATTTTCTGATGCACATTGGTTGTTATCAGTGAAGAAACTGGGAAGGAAAATTGGATTCATCATTATATCTGTAGCTTTGTTATCACTTTTCAGAGAAAACAGCCCCTGCAATACCTTGCTGCTGCCAGGTAGCTTTATTTATAACCAGGGACCAAATTATGAGTTTATGGAATACTCTAGGCTGCCACTGGCATACTGGATGTTGGAGGCCTTGCAAGAGAGACAACCTCAGGGCTCACCTGGTTCTCGAAAGTGCAAGTTACACAGGCTACCTGTACCTCCATCCTGTTTCCCAAATACAAACAGAGCAAGAAAACAGCCCTATGCATGCACAGTAGGGAAGAGTAAGTAAGAATAGCAGGCATGAGCCAGGCACATCAAGGTACAGGCAAGTCCCCCTTCCACTGCATAACTGCCTACAGAGCAGGCTGACTTTCTACACCCTGTAGCAGTGGTGCTGCCAAGACTGGCAAGTGGCATGGGGTGAAATATGGTAGTTCAGAATCAAGGCCGAGATTAAGCTGGGCTTGGAGGTCCAATTCAGACTTGAAATTCACACACAATATCTACGCTTGCTCTTCCCCCTCATTCTTTCAGTTGTTGAAATTCAAACCAGATTAGCTTCACCTAGAAAACTTCTACCACATCAATTCATACCCCAGCAAATCCTTTCTGGAAATCAAACATGGTGTCAGAAGAGTCAGTTCAGTCAGACTGAAGCCAATTTCTCTTCCCAGAATTCAAGAAACAGATACAGAAGCTGAGGCTTTTCTCTAAGAGGGTTTATTTCACAGAAACATTCTTTTTCAGTACTTACTTCTCCAAGATATATTATTCAGGATCCTCTGGAGCTGAACAGCATTTATTTCAGGATTCTGTGATACAGAAAATAATTTTAATTTTTTTTTTTTTTATAAAGTATTAAATCACCTTTCTCCCTCTTCTGTTTTCCCAGCATGTCCCATCTTCATTCTCTGCTTTTTTGGCCCCACTCCAGCCACTGTGAAAATCAATAGAAAAGACTCCCTTTGAATATGACAAGATTCTCAGCCTGCAAGGGCTGCAGTCTGCTCTGGGCTAAGTTCTCAGGGCTCTGCACAGATCAATACAGTAGTGTAGATTTATGCTGAGTGAGGATTCAGGCTGTTAACCTTTCAGCCCTGGTGCCATCTGTCCCATCAAGCACACTGTCAAGAGACCTGCGTCAAGTATTTCCCTTTTATCATTTACAAACAAACAAAAAAAAAAGATGGAAAGTTTGGAATACTTTCTTCCCAAACTTTTTCAAAGCAGAAACTTCCTCTCCTCCTTGTTATACTAAAGTTTACAGTTTTTTTAGGAGCTGTGACATTTGTTTCTTTGGAGGATGCTTTTTTAAATGTCACTCTTCCAAATAAAAGCCCATTTTCAGATCACGGAGCCATGCCAAGGTAATGCATTAAGAAATGGCAGAACTTGCCTCTGTGTGTACTTGGACCTCCTGAAGCAAAGGACCAGCACTTCACAATACATGGCAATTTCTAGCATGTCTGGAAGCCATGCTGTTATCAAAATCAAAATCTTACACAAGTGGCCAAAAGTAAAAGCATTGCTTGTTTTTAGTAACAGCTAAATATTGCTCAACATTTACATAGTCAAAATATTGCTATCCAAAGAGCCAATGTGTTTTTATGAAATTGTGTTTGCCAAATACAGGGTACGTTGCTAAATAAACCCCTTTCGAAAGGTGAAACCCTTGCATCCTTTGTCAGCTAGTGAGATTCCTGAAGATCAACTCCATCCCAAATCAGGACAGAGAGATCATTCAAAAGAATCTTTCACAATAAGAATCATATTCACTAGGAAAGTTAGTGAAAAAGGGAGGGGATGGGATACCTACTTCACCTCTCCAAGCAAGTTAGCTACCATCAAACTGTGTTGAAGCATGTGTGAGACGAGTGCCAATATTTCTCTAACAGGATACTTTCCCCAGTGAGTCTAAGAATACCCTAAAGGATAGGATGGAACCCTGCATCCCACCATTTTATTATCCCCAGTACAGGCAATAGGGATTAATGTTGAGGAAGAGCACGTGAGCCTGGCCAGCTTCTGCAGTTCATTCTCCTGTTTCCCAGGCACCCACACCTGTTGGAAAAGGGATCTTAGAGGGTACATCCCTGCCTAGTCCTTTAGTATCTGTTTATGCAACCGATGCCCATCATTTTGCTAATACCTTTTCAGCCTGTTGATACTGTCATTGCATCCACAATGTCCTGTGGTGTTAAGTTCCAAGCATTTGCACTCAGTTGTGGAGAGAAGGATACCTGTTTCAATGCTAACACTGCTAAGCTTCACAGTCACTGGACACACAGCCCAACCTCATGTGGCCCCTCTGCTTTACACACTTCCACATCCAGACCTCCTGTGAACATCCATGTCCTTTTACTTTCACAGAGCTATATAATAGCTCTGGAGGAGTTTACTCTGGGAGCTCAAGCACACACTTACCTGTTCAAAATATTTTGTGAAGAAATCCTCCCAGATCTTGCCCTCATACCTATCTACAATTTCCTTTAAGATATTTAAAAAAAATAAATTAAAAATATCATTAAGTCAAGGAAGAAGAACATTGCCAAAGACCATTGCTAAAGATGCTTTCCCAGAACTGCACTCTTGTCCTCTACCTTTCCAACTTCTCCCCACTACTGCAAGCAATGCTACATCACTGCTAAGATAGCTCCCACCCCCTAGAAATGTTATTTTTGGAAAGAAACACTCAGGTAACACTAGGGTGAGGAAAAATATTTCCTTCCCCCCAAGCTGTTCAACAACAAAGGATGGGGCTCATTCCATGCCAAGAAAGGGAATGGTCTCTGTCCTTTATACAGGAAGATAGAGGAGCAAATAAGAAGAATAATGGTGTCACAAAAAGAAGTTTGCAAAAAGACAACTAAGGTGTTGAAAAATTTGCCCATCCCATTTGACTGCATCTGTGCACAGGGTCCAGGGGACTCTGCCTGTAAACCCAAGCTGTGCTAGAAGAAGTGCTACAACACAAGAACACCCATTCTCACTCAGCGTCTCCATAGGGCAAAGCAACACGAAAAACCCAACATTCGGAACTGAAGACCAAAGCACAGACCTCCCACACCTCTCATACTCACCTTAGATAGGGTGAAACTGCTGTTGCCACCCATTTCCCTGGAGATGCAAAAAAGCAGACACATTAAGGAGACATCCCAGAGCTGTGTGTTTGTCTCATCGCAGGTGGCATCCCCCATTCCCAGATGAGACCACAACCTCCTGCTGCAGCATGTATTTTTTCTTAGTGTTACAGCTGCAGCAAGGGAAGCCCACATGTCCATATGGCTCTCAAAGGCCTGATGGCATTTGAAGTCTCCAAAGCACCATTTCTGCAAAAGCAACCATCATAGCATTGCCAGCAGGGTCTCCTGGTAAATTGATGGTGCATTAAAAGCCTCTTGTCCTTCTACACATTCTCAAACATAAGCATGCTGCAAGAATCCTTTCTGTGGGTCTAGCCCAATACTACTTGAAAGGATGAAGCCAAAAGCAGTGCTTCAGCCATTGAGAATCCTAAAGTAGAGGAAACCCACAACCATTCTCTCCAAAAGAGATTGTGCTGCTTTTTTGCAGAGTAAAATCTTTATGTTGCATCCATGAGACTAGAAAGACCAGACCATCCCACCATCCCAGAGAAACAGGTACTAGCGGAGGAGCAGCAGCATCTCACCGAAGAATGTGCTTCCTGGAGAAGACCCGCAGGATGAATTCAGCCTCCTGCTGAGGCTCCAGGGTGGATGGGACAATCACATAGACACAAGGCTCCAGGTGGAAGTCATGAGTCACCTCTCGCTCATCAAGGAAGACCTGGTGCTTGTTCACAGGCTGATGTTGGGTGAAGAATGCTGGGGGCAGCTTTCTGTTGCTTTCTTGGTACTGTTAAGGGAAGATACAGAAATGTGTTCTACCCCAGCCAAACAAATGGACAAAACGCAGGTGGGGAGCTCACAGGCATGGCATAGACAGCCTGCCTTCACACCTTGGATATTTTTACAGCACAAGCAGGTAACAGGGCCCAAAGGACTTAGTCTCCTGCCAGGACATGGTGATTCTCACTATACACCACCCCTGCCCAATGCTAATATGACAAAGAATGGGCTTCCTGCAACCTTATCAACTTAGTAGTACTTGAAAGGAACAGCAGCAAGGACTGGGGAGGAGAAGTGGCTCCTGTCAAAGTGGCTACTGCAAAAGTAATTTCCATACTTGCAGAAATGACTGCAGGCAGGAGCTGCTCTAGAGATTGCTCTTCACTAACCAGGACATCTCTCCTACCCAATAGGTACCATGCACTTTTTCCCCAGCTTGCCCTTTATACTAGGGATGTGGTAGTAGAGGATTTTTCAGAGCACCTGTGATCTGAACGTAATGCAGGGCCATCCTAATTCCTACCTCTGACTCCATGCACGTGTTCTTGATCTGCCTGGCACTCTTAGCATTTACAGATGTTTTGCTCTGCAGGCACTTTGCTACAGTAGGAGGATGGATAAAATGTTAATCTAGACAACTCTGAACTCATTTTTAATGCTATGGAGTGCCCAGTACACAAGCCATATAATTAATCCTGCTACCTAAAACCACTGTCCCCTTCTGATCTTGGCTGCTCCTCAGAACATTTAGCCATTTTACTCCACAGCCTCATAGTGGAGATGCTGTTCCCCTTTCTTTTGCCAGTATTTTTCTTGCTAATAGAACAATCTTTCTTCTGAAGGGTTCAGGGTTACTCCTCCTCATGCCCCTTATGTTAAATTCAAAGTTGTTATATTCCAGTCAATGCTTTGTTGACTGTAGTTCCAATATCTTATATACTCTCAGCTTGTCATCTCTCTATATTGATCTTGGCAACTGCTACAAACGTGAAACTGAAGTCTTGGCTGACACCAAGGTGTGGCACAGCAGTGTGCTAGGGCTACACTCAGAACCCCTCTGCCAGGAAGTTTAACTCATTTGTAACCCCGATAGTGCCCAAAATATTTAAGTCAGGAAGGAGTGGCATCTTACCTCATGGTTACCATGCTGCAAATACAGTAAGTGGGAACACAATTGTGCTGCCCTGACCATACACCCAAAGTAGTTCTTTGCCACCTTGAATTCAAAGGGACTCTCATGTAAACAGTGCTCTGAGTGGTAACAGAGTGGAAGGTATGCCCTTTCCAGATAACAAGAGCTAAACCTTTCCTTGTTTTTAATAGCCCTCTGAAGTCAAGGCCAAAATTGGGACTTACATCAGGGTTTAAGTTCCAGAGCCCTTCTTCAGGTCCCAAAGGCTTCTGGCTAAAGAAAATTCTAGAAATACATCTGGCCAAAGGAAGCTGAAAACACTGGCAGCATCAGCTCCAGAGCATCCCCAACCAGGAATGAACTTGGGCTCCCCAAGAGATCCCTGACTTGCATGGGACACAGGTTCTGTTCACACTTCATCCCAAGACTGAGAGGCAGCAAAAAAGTAACTCTGGCTCCCCTGAGAGCTGCAGTGAGTCCAGTTTAGACATAGTCAAGAAATGGTCAAGAGACCATCCCACAAGTGCAGCATGGACAAAGTGCTGATCAGGTAAACACTGATGCTGCTTGTAATACCTTTGAAGGCCTAGTGCAGAAGCTGAACTATTAATGCCCGCTTTTAAGGCCACTGAGCCCTGCCGATACAGCTGCTTTTCAGAAGAGTCAGTGGATAGCTCTGCATTAATAGTGACTTACCGTGGTGCCTTACTGAATTCAAATACACTGTTACTAGCTGTCAGCCAAGGAACAAAGGCAAACACACCACCTTCAGTGTTGTCATAACAGCTGTACCAGCCCAGGTCCCCCTGCAAACAGCCAGCAGTGGTGACAAGGGACTCACCTGTAGGCCCACCTGCAGGAAGAAAAGAAATAGCATCTGTCAGGAATCTCTGGGTCTCACACAAGATAGCCATGTCATTGCTGGGAAGCAGTTATGTATGTCCAGCTGGGGTCTTTGCCTTCAGAAACATCAGCCCCTCAACCTGAAAAACCTTCCCCACAGCCATCTCTCTGTAACTGTGCAAACTCACTGCAGCAACAAGAGCTGTGGCTCTGTCCAAAGAAGAAGAGTGGCTCTGCAAGGCACTCAGATAAGCAGAGAGCTGAGGGAGGGGGAAAACTCTCACTCCTTCTAGTGATACCCACTTACCCTTACTAGCAGCATTCACACATGGGCAGCTGCCACCCCACGCTAGGAATACTTCCCAAACACAAGGCTGGATATAACCAGAGAGCAGCACTCTCCCTGCCCCAAAGTAAGGGGACTTCTGGCACCCTCTTCTAGGGTTTACACATGCTCTCAGAGAGGGCAAAATAAAGCCCAGTGTGCTCTGAAGCAACAAGCACTTCTCTCTGCTCTGCAGGCTGACACACAGCATGCCAGAGAGGCAGCAAGTAAGGCACAGAGCCTGCAGGAGCCTAGCCCTGCTGTGTGAGAAGACTGGGTACAGGCAAGAAGAACAGAGACCACCCTGCACACAACAGAACTCCTGGTTTGCAAAGCTGTACAATTTACAGGGACTGGAATTTTTCCTATGTGGTGAAAGCAAGAAAGGCAAAGCAATTCTTCACACCTTGTAGAGTGAAAACCCAATGAAGAGGTGGGGCGCTCGGTTCCTATGTTTGCTGCTGTGTTTCTGCATCAGGGATATAACCACACTGCAGGAACCCAGGCTTTTCTTACTGTCTTCAACTGGTAAAACATTCAGCCAATACTGAGGGTTCATCCAAAAGGTGCCTAAACAAAATGGGAAAAACATTTTTATGTCATTTTCCATCACAAAATTGATTGCCAGCTTCCCATTTGATGCCTGGCATCAGACTGAATAGATCACAGGTTGTCCGGACTCCAGAACTCACAAGGACTTGATCTTCAGGTGCAGTTTGCACATCCAGCAGTGCAATCACTATGCAGGACAGAAGGAAGGACAGGGAACTCCATCTCTGCTCACATGCAACTGAGAGTTCAATTTGTTTATAAATGTATCACTATTCCTCTATCACCTCCAGTGTATGGGCTAGCTGACTTCAGATCCCATCTGCTCCGCCTCCAGGAGGGCTGAGCCTCTGCATTTCCCATCCACTTTACTTCAAACACCATTCTCTGTAGGTGCCAAGGATGCAAATTTTAACAAACAAGTTTAATGCCACAAAGAAGTTCAGTGCTGGCCATAACAATTTCATGCCATAACAAGCCCACTACCCTATGCTAGCAAGTAATGACTAGCCTCTGCTATCACAGAAGCTGCAAAGTCCTTCAGCTGCTTATTTCTGATGTTTGTGTGGAGGGAGAGGCAGGAAGACCATGTTTCTGTTGTCAGTTTTGTGTTAACAGGTGTAAAGTGTTGGTAATTGTGTTAAGAAAGCAACATTACCGCAAAGTCATCCAAAAGCGCAACCCTCACCATTACGGAATCCCAGACTTCCTCCTGCTGTACTTCCTTTAACCCATCTCCCTCTCTTCAGGGAGTACATCCACTTCTTCCCATATTCCTGGCTCATCAGGTCTGGAGTTAACTTACAGATCATCAGATCTACAAAATGAATCTTAAAATCTCGCAGAGACATCCTGGGAAAAGAGTGCCAAGAAACATTTTGTCAGCAGTTTAGTTTAGTCCATATGGCTTATAAAAAAAGAAAAAGAAAAAGGAGCAGGGAACTTCTAAGCTGCACCATTTTGTGTTACATATGGTAATGCTCATATTTTATTAGGCAGTAAAGAAAAGAGCGTCTGCTCCAGCAGCAGCAGCTATGAGTAGCAAATGCACGACTGAAAATTCAGTAAAGGATAGCAGCACAGAGATTAAAATAATACTGCCGCCGAAGGGAGAGCAGTGAAACGACACGGGTGACAATATTGCCACCTCGTGGCAGAAGCCATGGAGAAACCACGAACAAACAAGGCACGCAAGAGCTTCCCAAAGCTATCGTCAAAAAAACGCAGGACAAAAACTCCTGAAAGCTCCAACAACAGTGTCCTGCTTCTCCCTCCCTCCTGCCACTGAAGCACACTGAATGTCTTCGGTGTCAGCACAGCTACTGCTTCTCACGTTGTCATGTTGCAGAGGACAGAACAAAAAGCAAGCATGGGCTGTCATAAAGGAGATCCCATATACCTTGACCTAAATGGGCTGCTTCATCTCCAGATGCAGCCCCAGAGCTACTGGCAGAGAAGAGAAAAGCAAGCCTGTGCCATTACCAGAATTCTCCGTCATCCTTCTTTTTCCTCAGCAAAATCTTCTCCTTCGGGCTCAGCAGCTCCCATTTGTAAGAGCTGAGGGCAAAAACAAGGTGACTGTTCAAACATTGCCTCAAATTCAAGGCAGAGTACAGAGCTTTTCTCTAAAAAAAGAAGGCAAATTCCTCTCCCCACATATCTCCACATTTATTCCCCACTAAACACAGGTCCCCTATGCCTTCAGCCACAGGAGATGCTCCACAAGCACTCTGGGTCCCATGAGATGTAGCTAAATGACTCCAGTTTTCTCCAGCAGTAGCCAGAAATACTCCATTTCCATAAGCCAGTCCATTCACTTGCACACACACAGCTTCCAAGTACTTAAACCATAAAAATCTAGACCTGTTTTGTTGGTTAATTTTCTGTCAAAGGAGACATAATAGGAAGAGTGTTTGGCATAATGAATGAATGACTAGGACAGCACAAGAGGCAGCTGGGAGTCATTTAAAAGGCAGGCCTACAGTATGTTGCTCATTATGCTCTTTAACAGGAACAGCTGGTATGTTGTCATTATGTGACAGACACGCATCAGAGAAGTCACTGCTCTGCAGACAAGGTGAAAGTCACTCACAGTTCCCAACACCTCCCTGTGCTCTTCCCTCCTCCCTACCTCCAAGCCTCAGCAAACAGGGGATGAAGTGAAGCTTGGAAGAAAGGAATGTGCTCCCCTTCAAAGAGGAATAGGACACAAGTCTACAGTTGCCAGTGGTCTAGAATACAAACCATTATCTTGCATGGCTCTGAATCAAAAACTTCAGGCAGATGCAAATATAAGGGCCCATTTGCCCCACTAGTTGCTTCCTTTGATCTCATACTTGTGTTTCCCCATCCCCCAGCCAGGATGGAGGACTCCTTCACAGCCACTCAATTCCAACACTTTGCAGCCCATGGAGAACTTTGCATGGTCCCTCCCATGCCCTGAAACATGCTGTTTGTTTAAAGCTTCCTGCATAGCTGTCACTGTATGCCAGCCAGGTCACAGCAATGTGGTCCGTGTCTGATGTTCACATTATGTTTCCTCTGGTATTCAGTGAATGGAAAAGAACTGAGCTTGTTGAAGCTGCATGTGTGAAATGAGCCCAACTATGTGAGCACTATGTGCTGGACGAAATACAAATCTATCAAGTCATTGCTTTGACACCAGAGGGTCTGTGCAAGCAACTGTTACTTATCTTAAGGCTGCTCTCAGCACTAATTCACGCCTGAAGATGGCAGCATCTTTCCTCCAAGAAACTTTTCCTCCCACTGGGCATCAGACCCTCCCTTTTTTAAACTCACCTGTCACTCCAGTCTCCTTTCCATTCAATTTTTCCCCATGGATTTCTCAGTCTCACTAGGTTTTCCGGTCCATATTGACAGGTCACCTGCAGAAAACAGTAACACTGCATTGGCACTTATTATTTTACTGCCACTTACTGCTAGACAGATACCTTTAGGGGACTTCCAATGACACTTCTGCAGATCAGTGGGATCCACCTGCACTCTCTGCTCAGAAGCCTGGCTCAGTTCCCTTATTTTAGCCTTGACTCACGTTTCCATCTGCAGTTTTTCATGGTTTTGGCCCTTGTATTCCATTATCTCTACTTCTCTGTGGCCCCTCTTCTGATTTCAGAGGAAGACTTTTTAATCGCAAGTAGCTTTCAGCACATCCTCCCAGCATCCCCAAAGGCCAGTTCATTCTCAACATCCAAGATGCATTTGTAGGTGATGCTTTCAGCAGAGCTCTAGGAATCATTCCCACATTTTTAGATATGCTGATCTATAACCACTGTCCTTTACATTAAGGTCACGATACTAAAATGGACACACTTGGAAGTGAACTCTTACACACAGTCTCTTTCAGCCTTAGAGTAAGACAAGAGCACTGGGGGAAGAAATACTATAGATTTCCTATGGCAACCTAAAGCTTGAACCTACGCAATAAAAATTGCTGACATCCAAACAAACCTGGACCCAGGACATTAGGGATAGTCTTACCTTTCTAATACCAGTTACTGTGTATGCATGGCCAGCAACAAGCCCATTCTTCAGGACCTTTGTTGCCTGTATACAAGGAAGAGAAACAGAAGGAAAATAAACCTTTTATTTTATCCCTGCTTACACAGCAGACTCATACTAATACCAGAGACCTGTATCAGTGCAAGCAATGACTCTCAAAGCAAACAAAGATTGGTTTGAACTGGAAAAAAAAAAAAAAAGATTAAGTCTAAGCTCCTAACAGCCATATTTTGCAGTATGTTTGGATTTGGAAAGTTGATAGGAAGATCTCTTCCTAAATTATGGATCTTTGGCTAGAGACCTCACTTTTTAAAAGTCCAGGAACAGCAGAATCATAGAACTGTTAGTTCTAACTGGGGTTAGAAGGGACCATAAAGATCATCCAGTTCCAACCCTCTGCTATGGGCAGGGACACCTTCCACTAGACCAAACCCTGCCCAACCTGGCCTTAAACACTGCCAGGGATGGGGCAGCCACAACTCCTCTGAGCAACCTGTGCCAGGGCCTCACCACCCTCATAGTGAATTTTTTTTCCCTAATATCCAGTCTAAATCTTGGAAGCCAAGATCTGAATTCATGTTCTGAACTACACACCTCTCTATCTTAGATACAAGATATTCCATGAGTCTCTCTGCCTCACTGCACCACCTGTAAAAATGGAAAATTTATTTAACAAAAATGGGAAGAAGAACAATATGTAATAGAGGTTCTTTGATAGATAAACCAGTCCCTAAGCATAACAACAGGGAGCTGAGAGCAGCAGAAAATCAATCCATGTGCAAAGTTTAACTCTAAGAATGTGGCTTCTATAGAAAGTCATGTGCAGCAGCTTTGATACTTTTTGAGTCACAGTGACTAGCTGAGCAGAGCAAAACAGGTCTGGAAAGGCTTTCAGCTGTGAAGCCTTTTGATGTCACTCCAAGTCTCACCCCTAAATGTGTCTGACAGCCCATAAGAGATCTGCTGTAGGTGGCTCTGGTCAGGATATCCCACAAATCAGGAGGAGCTGCTGCAAGCTTGATCCTTACATTAACACCACCTGTAAAATCCACCAAGGCTTCTGAAACTTGCCCAAATTGCAGATCTTCATAGGAGCCATAGAGTCTAGGAAAAAAGACATCAATATATTCTTGGGATTATAGTCCCACATGGTAAGAAGAGAACAGTGTACCAATGAAAACATACAATAAAGGTTTGCAAAAACAAAAGGAAGGTTGTAAGTCATGGTTAATTCAAGGAGAATCTTTGGAATTTAGAAAGAGGGGGATCTAGCAAATGGTCCTCAAGATCAGCCATAGCCTAAAAAATCTCTCACTGACACTCCTCACTGCACAATAATGAGAACATGTACCTCACTACTTCTTTGATAATTCTGCCTTAGCAAATGTTTCCTAAATTTATCACCATATATCTATATCTAAGGTACAGTGCCTTGAGAGGCATACTGTCTCCATTTAAGTTTCTTTACCACCGCAGTGCAACTTTCTCTGGTCATTTTGCTCTAACACCAAATGAAAATATCTCAGCTTTCTCACCTTTGCCGGGATCTTTCTCTCAATATTAACTAGGAGATTTCCCTGCTCTGAAGAAATTATTTCAGCCCAATATTAACAAATGCCATCAGTTCTGCCTTCTTAGTCCCAATAAACCACTCTAGACAAAACACCCTGGAGAGAAGCCAGTATTCTCACTGTGCCATGCAACTTGTTAGATGCCTCAGTTTTGGGGCATTTTTACCAAAACCAAAATACAACTTTCCAGCAGACACCCAAAGTGAAACTCCTTGGAGGTTTCTCGAACTCATAATACATCAAAGGAGGCATCAGAAATCATTCACCTTTCAAAATCCTGGTTCTTTAAAAAACTTCTGGCCTTCGCTCCTCTGCAGTATTACAAGGAAAGCTTGAGCCTAGCCAGTACACTCCAAACAGTGATAGCACGCACAGGACAATCCCCGCACAATAGGTCTGTTTCACACCTATTCCTAAACCTTTGGATTTTAATTCAAGGGCCTGGATTGATAATAGCTACTACAGCGGTAGCTTTTACTGCATAACAACAAAAAGATAAGAACCACTTACTATACTCCAAACACGGCAAGGCTTAGGAGATGCAGTTATAAACAAGAACAAACTGTGTAGGCACCAACCAACATATTTTAGAGACACTATTTGCATAAATTGGAATGAGTCACTTACTTAGCATATGCCTTCTCCAGAAGGGCTCCCCAGAACACGTTCTTATAGACTGAGGAAACAAAGATCAGCTCCCCTGCCTCATTCACAGGCAGGCGATCATCAACCACCACATCAACCCATTCACCAAAATGCCAGAACTGTCAGGAGAAAGGAATGGGAAAAGAATGAGCTGATGTTTCCCTTGGAAGGGACCTCCCCTTGAAACAACAGGAAAGGCAAAACAGCTTAGCTATGGGCACAGGACAAGCTGCTTTGGGTCAGCGAGACATACTGACTCACCCAAAGAACCAGCTCTTCAGCCCCACCCTGCCAGAGGAGAAAACATCAGGTGCAAAAGGATTAAGCGGGGAAATGAGGCACAGTTGGGTTTCTGGGGAAGAAATTCCTAACTGCAGGGTAGCAAAGTGGTATCAAAAGCTGGGTAAAGCGGTAGAAGGGTGGAAGAGATGTGCTCAAGTCCTGCCACTTGTTGCTACTATGTAAAAAGACTTTTATCTGGATTAAAATATGGGTAGGGCACAGCTGGAGAGAAAGGCCAAGCAGGGTTATATCCTCAGAGCAGCTTGTAGTTGATCCACTGCACTGCTCTGTGGGAGGGGTGATGGGCTACTCTCCAGGCTGGGATAGCCTCTGGCCACTTGCCCCCCTGGGCAAGGGAAACAGCATACAAATTATCTCAGAGTGTGACATAAAACACGACAGAGGATTTGTAAAGACCTCCTGTGCTCTGGGGGAGCAGACGTACCTGGAAGTGGAAAATACCAGCATATTTCCTCTCAAAGCTCTGGTTTTGTGGCACGACTGCAGCAAAGATGTCCTGGTGGAACGTCAGGGCTTGCAGGGCTGCCAGGAACCAGCAGTTCTCTGCGCCAAGACAAACGGACACATGCAGTTGGCTGAAAAGTGAGTGTTGTCAGCCAAGTTCAGGAACACCACCAAGATCCTGCCGAAGAACTGTCGTGCTGATGTCTTTACAGTTATAACAACTGTCCATACAATCATAACACATCGTACCCAGAAAATGAGATGATCCAGATGTGTGCTTTACTTAACCAAACTATGGTTTGTAATTGTTCCCCCATGATCTTTTTATTTGGATACTCTTTGGTTAAATAAGAAATCTAACAAGAAATAGCTGTCAGTGGAAATATTATGGGGTTTTATGAACATTGTGCATTAGGGGCTGTTTCTCTGTTCTTTATAAAGGCACACTATTTAAAAAAAAAATCCATTTTTCTTAGAAAACATTAACTTTTCAGAAGTGAAAAATAATTTCCAATGGATCTCACACACAAGACTATATTTATCAGACTTCGTGCTTAAAGGCTTAAGCACTTCAACATGAATTTAGTCCTGCCCTACCTGTTTTGCAGATGACAATATACCCTTTCATTTCAGGTAACACGAGCATAGCATTTACTTTCCTAACTGCAAAACTGGGAAGAGAACACAATCATACTGACCCTTCAGTACAAAGATAGTGAAAGTTTCAGATTTGCCTGCTTCTGTGGTCTCTGTGCAGGTCAAGTAACAACATTCCAGATCAGTAAGAGCACAGGATCACCTCCTATTGCAGTATTAATATGCACAAAGAGTGGTGATTCCAGCTGGTGGAGACACCTTTCATGCCTCAAATCCTACCTTAAAATTTGACAGGTTTTTTACTGAGTCTATCCCAGCTTAATGATTGTTTCATCCACATCATGCCAAGTGAAGATAGAAGGATATGTACACCTTCTATTTCTACGCCAAGTTTTATACAGTCAAATTTCCAGGGAAAATGTTATCTTGTATAAAAATTCTTAGATATTTATACAAAAGAGCTTCCTTACCCACCAGTCCTTGGCAGAGATCAAGTTGCTTTCTGTTTGCAGCATAAAATACTGGACTTCTATGCAAAGCCTGGAAAGCACATAACCAAAAAAAATGAGAGAGTCAAGTCAGTAACATAAGCTGGGTTAGCCTAAAGTAAAGGACTTTCTGTAGTCTCCTAAAATGAGAAATCCAATGAGTTCCTAGTCTAGGATGTAAAAACCTCATGGATATGTGACACAAAACATTCCCTCTGCCTATTCAAAGCTTTCGAAATGCTTGTGGTCCCTTTGTCCCAGCAGACATTCTTCTGGTTCAGGTATAACTCCAGTGTTATCAAGTGCTCTGGCTAACCTGACCCAAGCCTGGGCATACATTTGTGCTTGGTCTGCATTGAATTTGGTCTCAATGTAAGTCACTGATGTGCAGATGCATTGAGAAGAGAACCCTGCAGATCTGCCAGCCCTGCTCCTCCCTAATTGCTGACAAGTATGGCAGAGCATAACTGTTCAAACTTTCAGGTAGCCTGGCTCATGTCTCCGCAACTGGCAATTGAGCTACAGACTAACTGATGGCTATTACAGAAGTTCCTGTTGCTGTGACAAGAGTAGGTCCATGAATAATTGTTCAGAGAGAAATTATGTTGTTATTTTTTTCCCCTCTCACAAGTGCCTCTGGGGTTAAATAATAACCCAAGTGTCAAACTTATGTTTCACTTGAATGACCCACAAATTGCTCAATCTAATTTTCACACTGTTGGCTTCCCCTTCAGGCAGTAGCAGAGAAACAGAAAACCCTCAGAAGGCAGTTACAGTAATTAGACACCAACCCCCATCCTTGGTGAATTTGGGTGTTCAATTTGCAGGTCATCAGTCATAGAGGCAGCAAGCTACAAGCCTGCAGGCTGAATGGCAGAATCTCAGTATTTTCCTCTGCAGCACAGGGACTGAAGGATGCACAGCATTCATCCTCAAAAAGCCTTTGCTGGGCTATGTTTGGCATTTAGAGAAAATGGCAGCCTTCCTCACAAGGCAGTTTAGAGCAGCAGAATGGTGGACTGAGAGACAAGGGAGCTTTCAAGTCCATTCCGTTATCTCTGGGGTAGTATCTACACCTCAAGGGCTTTGTAGAGGCCAGGATTCATGTTGACCTCTCCTACCCAAATACCTCTATGCTGATTTAGCTGTCTCAGCCACAGGGCAGCACAATCCAGCTCAGGCCCCTGAGGACTGCACTCTTCCTCTGCATGCAGATTCTGACTTAACACAAACCATCTGTGAGATGAATAACATACAAAACTCTGAGAACCAGGGCTGCTATTTCCAAACTCTCCTGCTCACTTAGCAAAGGTGCCTCTACTTTCCTGGTGATTTTCATGACTTTTGCAGAAGCTCAGCCCTTCTAAGAAATTGATTAAATCTGATAAAATATCACAGCTAGAAAATATCTTAGCTAGGAGATGCTATCTGCTATTACCTGGCTGAATTCTGTTACAGACATGGTAACATGAGAATTGAAACTCTCAGATAAATCTATATGTTGCTTTCAGGATGTTCTGATTGTCAGTATGTTGCTCAGTGGCTCAGTAAGAACAGAACTACCATTGCTAGTAACAGGCCTTATCTAACTGTGCCAGGCCCCTGCCATGGCCTCCTGCTCTTGGCATCTATCCGTCTGTTATGAGAATGTGCTCTGTTACCAGCCCATACAACAAGGTGTCTCTTATTCTGAGGTACAGTTTAAGCATAGGATATCAGCAAAGGCCTTGGAAATACGTGCACAGTAGAAAACAGGTCCCAGAACTAAAAACAACTTACTGACTAATGGTCAGTTACTGGTATCAGTACAAGCCAAACCTTGAAAGCTGGGAAAAGACTGTTCTAAGTAGAATACACTAAACAGTTAAGCACTGAAAAAACAGCCCAGCAAGATAAGGCACCTGCTGCTGCATGTGAAAAAAAGCAGACTACAGCATCACAAGGGTATGTGGTCCGTGGGAGAGGGTTCAAAGGCTAAGAACTGTCTCAAAACTCAGAAATTTTCTGAAAGGTCAAGATCCTGGATTTTGTGGAGAGGGATCATCACCATAAGAACTGCCATCATGCAACCATGGTGGGATCATCAGAGCTATGAGCTGTATGGACACCAGCTCCCCCTGCTCCCTTTGCCTGTTCTCCCTGCCTGCTCTGAGCATTACTGGGTATAAACTCAGTGCACCTGGTTATGATTTTGGGCAATAAATGCTTCAAAGGCAATTACGAAACTCTGCATAGCCCAGCTTCCAAAATGACAGCTGATACAACATATGTAATCTCTAGAAGCATTAAAGCACACCTAAATTAAAGTCTAAGAATAGTCCAATCAATGTTAAAACTATTTCCTGGCTATCAGCTGTGATCATCCTCTTACACTACAGTATTCACTGAAACTCACTTACATGTGGCCTCTTCCACTGTAAATTTTGAGGCAGTTTCTTCAGCAGTGCTCCAGTTCCAATAGAGCTGATGTGAGCAGGGAAGCTGTCATCTGTGAACAGCTGATTGTTCTTCAAGCAAGTTTCCAGCAAGGCTTGATAGTTCTGCTGGGTGAGAGGGGGGTGTTTCTGAAAGATACTCCTGCCTAAAGGCACAGGTGACTTCTTTCTTTTCAAGCACAGGAGAAAAGGCATGATGATATCCACAGTAACGCCTCGATAATTCTTTTACACTGAGGATTCTGCAGGGATCTCACCCTGCACAGTCCTGCTGGAAGCTCCTGTTTTCTTGGGATGAGGTGTGACTTCTCCCAGAGAATTCCTGATAATTAAAATAAGGGTAAAGAGTCAATTTAAACATGGCTTTTATAGTTTTCTCTTTAGCCAGCAGGGAGAGGCAGGGGGGTGGCCCTCCCTGGAGGAGTGGGGACTCATCTGATCCTAATCTAGCACCTATTACTCCATTTTCAGGGATTTACATTCACTGTAGATCTGAGTGAAATCAAAATGAGTGACCCCATTGACTTTTAATGAGGCTTTGAAGCCATACACATAGTTATTCTGAGTCTCCCTGGGCTATTTTAGGCTTTCCAGGATATTTTCATAACGCATTGCAACATGAATGACAGTTTTTATTCAATCACATTCTGGCATGTGGTTATTTCCCCTTCCCAAAAAGGAAGAAAAATAACACATATACCAAAGGCTAACAGAAAAATGGAATATATTAGGTGTTATAAAGCCATTACTCACACCCCTCCAAAGGTTATTTTGCCCTTTTTGCCTCATTTTGGAGAATGATACAATCTCTCCCAAGAGATCGCATTCCATCTTGCTGATTACCACAGATTCACATGCTGAGGTAATTTTTTTCTTGTAACATTTGAGATCGCTGTTTCTCATCCCCCCACTGAAAACAGCAGAGTGATTTCATTGCCCTTTTTTAATATTAGCAGCTATGCTAAACATTTAAGGAACTTTTCAACCCGAACCATTCTATGATTTTCAAGGCCTTTGAGCAACCTGGTGTAAGGGAAAAGGTGTCCCTGCACATGGCAGGGGGTTGGAATTAGATGGTCTTTAAGGTCCCTTCCAATCCAAACTATTCAGTGATCCTGTGATCACCTTCTGCTACAAGTGGTGGGCTCCTGAGAGAAATGATGATTAAACTCTCAGCAGACAAATCACACCCCTCAGTGGCAAGAAGGTGATCATAATCACAGCCTTCTCATTACAGTGTGGATTGAAAACTGAAAAGTTCAATAAACAGTTCACATGCCATAATGATACAGCATTTGGAAAGCTTTCCTGCAGAGGAATCACTGCCCCAGGCACCCTAGGAAACTAGTCTCAATTAGGAATCAGTTGATTGCTACTCCCATCCCATCAAAGTCGAAGGTCACTGGTGTTCCCTGTGAAAAACCAAACAACCACAGATTGTGACATCCTTCCCGCACAGAGCCTTCATTTGTTATAAAATCGCTCTACAACTTATCTACAAGGCATGATCCTCAAGGGCAATCAAGGAAAAATCTTCAAAATATAACCCTGGCAACAAAAATTCCATTTTCTATTGTACAGTAAACATTCCAGACTTGAAAAAGGATTTAAGTGCCTAACAACTTGCCTGCTTGTTTTTTTTGCAGATGAAAAATACTGTCCCTCCAAACTTTGCCTTTCATAGCCATTGACTTTCACGGCTACAACAACAGGAGCAACAGACAGAGAGATAGATTTAAGAGAAAAACAAGAGGAAGGAAACAGCCTGGTGACTGGCTGCACTTTATATAGACAGACAAAATACGTATGAAGAAGAATTTCTCATTTTGCTGCTCCCCAGGAAAAACACTGATGAGCAACTGATATACTTTGAGCTACACTGAAGAGGAAATACTTGAGACTTGCTTTTAGGGTGTGCAGAGTATTTATGCCTGACAAAATTATTGTAACCCTTCACCAGTTCTCACCTCATTCTGGCATTTATTTAAAAAGGACTAAACTTTATAGACAGGCCTTGAAACCCAGAGATAGTCTGAAAAAAAAAACCAACCCCAAACGATGCTTTCAAAAATGGAGATTTAAATCATTTGAATATGGAGCCTTTTTTTCAAGAAACTAAGCCACCAGACTCAACTGTATCAGTCTGTGTTGAGTCAATAATGCAGCTACTTTACATGATTTGAAAACCTCCCAGCTGAACCTACCTGTATGTGTATTGTTTTAAACACTTTTCCAAACTACCTGGAAATCTCCAAACAAAAGATGCAGTGAAGCATTTTATGTGCCATGAACAGTCACTCATTAGACAGACTACAATGTGTTCCACCTCATGTTTCCACCTTCTTCTGCCTGCTGTCTGGCTGCAGTCATGTGTATGAGCAGGTGCCAGACACAGTTGCATACAGCTAGCCAAGGTATACCTGGAAATCACTTGTACTCCACCCAGCCCTGTCACCAAACCAGACTGAATGGGGATGTCCCACTGTGTCCTCCAGCACAGGTGGAGCACAGTAATTGCAGGTCTCTTCCTGCAATTAAAATTTCTAAGGGAAAGCAGTCAAGTGTAGCAGACAGAGGTTAAAAGCTTTAGATAGAAGCTGTGAACCAGTAGGTTGGATGGATTTGATTCTCTACTCACCGCACATTCCCCTTGTTAGTATGTTTGCAGCCTAAGTCCTTCCACTACATTAGCATCCTACGATTTCTTCTATATCTTTCTCACATCTTAAAGACCTGTCCCTAAATCTTAAAATGAGTATCTGAAGAATTCACAGAAAATCCTTCACTTTTAGTAAAAGCAATTGGACCATGAAAGAATTCTATGAGAGCCCCTTACTCTCATCTCCTCTGATTTAATGAATACAATCTATCTGCGCTGAGGAGCTGCTCCTGATTGTGTGGAACAGAACAAATGTCTGCATGCAAAATAAATTTTCGGGTGAGCAGAGCAAACAATGCAGGGCCATCTTTTACAACTGTTCTCGTAATACAGCAGAACATTAGCTACATAAATTAGTAGTCATTAGTCAAAATGGAAACATAACTGAATTAGGCTTTGTTAATCTTTATTAGTCTCTAAACACAGTATAAAAAGAGCACTTGCAGGTACAACGTGAAGTCTTTGATTAAATGGAGTGGTGTATTTCAGAAATAAAAACTCAAAGCTGACTCCCATTCTTCCTATGGGCTTTTTAGCAAATAAAAATATCCTGAAAAGAAGCACTGAACTGTGTTTTCTCACAAAATGAATGAACATACCATCAAGTGGAGGACCTTGCTCTGATTTCCCAGTGCTTAGATTATTGTCCCAAATGTTGATAAACACCTTCTGGTGCTGAGATTTTCAAGGCTGAGCAGTGAATCTGCCCCAGAGCCTCCCAATGATATTAACAAAAAGCCTGTAGCAAAAATGCCTGGATGGCTTTCAGAACTTCAAACAATGTCTCCCTGACATTCACTTTTAAAGACTCTGATTGAGAATTTAAAATATATATTCTTTGCTGCGTAAATTACCCAAGCCACATTGAAATCAGTGGAAATACGAGAATCCCATCAAGATCTATCCTTCAACACTTAAGGTTACACATCCTATTCATAATCATCATCATTAGAGATTCTGACTGCCCACAACTCCCATTTAATTCAGGTGAAGCTTTTGATCTCTGCAGAATATTTTCTGATCATGTATCAGCTAAGCCACCCCTGAACAGCAGAACTGAGGGAAAAAAGGTGCACAAAATGTGGCTTGACTCTGGAGCTGTGACGTGAGCAGCTGGTGCAGCTCGTCTAGTTGCTTTACATCCCACCCATTCTTCTCACGTTTGCTAATAGGAACTTTTTGCCGTTCTCTACAACTTCCAGAGAAAAGAACAGCAGCAGCTGTACACTAAGCACTGCCAGCAGCATTGTGTAACTAATACACCCATCTGATCCTAGAGGACAACTTCAACTCAGCATCCTGCTGGGACGACAAGAGTTATACTCCTTTCAACCCCCCGCAAAATCCTAAGTCTGTACTAGCCACAGGCAACTGCTGAATGCCAGCACCAAATCCCTCCTCGTAGCACTTGGCATTTGAGGTCCTACCTTTTCCAGGTGTGTCTTCAAGTGAAGGATAATTGTCCCACTGGCAGTGATGCCTGCTGCTTTTAGATGGTGTATGTTATCTCTACCTATGTGTGAATTTATGTGCACATGTACATGCACATATATATATATATATGTCTTGCCTACGTAATCCCGAGAGCTAATGCTAACCTATCAAGCACTGGGGTAGAAGCAGGAGGTGGGTTAAAAAAGCATACTGAGTAATGCCAGAAAATTTCTGATGAGCCCAATGCAAAATATTCCAGAGAAGACATGAAAGAACAGGTCAGCCTATCATGCAGACTACCGTTTGACTCACCTATCGCTTCAATGGACAGCAGCTTCCTTGTTTAATTAGCCATTTGGTTAGTCAAAGTTCAAAACTCCACGTCTCTCCGAATACCACCAACAAGGAAGATGCATTCAGCTGTGTCTTAATATGTTCTAACAAGGTTTCTGCTTTCAGGTAAGACAAAACACAGAAAGGAAATACCCTCAAAACCCTCACATTTTCTCAGACCAGATGGGGCCTTGACAGTCTCTCAACTTTGTCAATAACTAAATCATAATGATTTCTAAAAGAAACATTTATGAGATTTTGAGGGAAGTATAAATCCTATGACAGAGACAGTCAAAACCATCTGAAAGTTATATGAGAAACCCCCAGGCTTCTGCATCACAAGGATGGTAAAAGGCTCAAGAGGATTTTTCTTTTCAGCACCATTAAAGACATTGCATGGGTCACGTACCTTATGTGCAATACAACATGTTTTATTTGCTGTACAAATTTAAGGAGAAAGCTCTCTGGAGGCAAGCATACTTCCCCCTCATTATACATACATTAGCCAACCCCACATTCTCCGTTTGTAGTGGCATTTCTGGGTCCCAGCACCTTGTTCCACCCCAGGCAATGAGGAGATAAAAGCAGCATGGAGAGGGTAGGGAAAAGGACAGCATGTGCATGCTAGGCCACATGAGAACAATGGTAGAAGAAACATAATGGGAAATATTTCAGAGGAATATGAAGGAGCAGTAAGGGCAGGAGAGCAAGGCAGCAGCTTTCTGGGTGGTAAATGCACAGCAATTAGTGAGGAAAAGCACAGACTACGCTGGAGACACTTGTTCCTAAGCCACGTGTCAACAGCAGGCAGTAAAGAAGTTTGATCTAGCTGAACCAGAAGAAACTGTCCTTCCCTTACTCATCAAATTAGTGTATTTGGTTAAATTATGGGGACCCACTGCACCTTCCTCTCCCCTCATCCCTTTTGCACAACCTGACTATTCCCTGTTGAATCCATTGTTACCTGAACTTCTGACACTGCTTAGGTTTCTTACTTGGTAATGAACAAACAGTGACAGTAACTGTACAGTCAGGAAGTTAATTTTACTGAATTACATTGTTCCTACAAGTTTCTTCACAGTGTCAAAGCATTACAGTACTGAGTCACCACCTCTTTTCCAGCTCAGTAACTTGCTAATGTCCCCATCCTCAGTTGACCTTGTGTAGGAAGTAAACCTGACCAACCTAAGGCAAGAGATAAGCAAACACACACACGTCACCATGACTTGATGTCATATGAAACGAGTTTCAGTTATACAACATTGTGTTTCACACCTCAAAATTAGGTTTCATTTTGAGTGCAAACACTATATGACTTGGTCCATTCCCATTCACTTCCAGCAAAGTGGAAGTGAATCTTCTCCAGCAAAGTTTCTCTCTCCTGGTCAAGGCAAGCATCCAGCTGAGTGACTGGCAGCCATCAGCAGAAAATACAGAGCTAAAAGTTTAATCCATCACAGCTTGAGGGAAAAAGACAAATTCTATAGTAAAGGGCGTAGCAGACCCTCATCGGTATCAGATACGGGTATGTTCTGAGCAGCACAGTAGTTTCTGTACGGGACAAGAAAGACCTTTCACGTATGAACAGCTCAGAAACTACAAAGAAAAACAGCCATTCTTCCACTAATGAAGCATCATTTAAAAAAAAAAATTCCATTATATTAATATTATTTAATTGGGTTTGTGCTCTTTCTGTTTCAGAATTTCTAAAATGTTAACTATTCTTTAGAATTGCCTAAATATTGCACCATGAGACCAACCTGTCCAACACAAAGCATCCACTACAACATCCCTGTTTCACAAATGAAAAGGAATAAACAATTAAAACAGATGAAAATTTTCAGTTCAGATTCTGGCAACAAGAAAAACCTCATTATACCCTAAGTTTCCTCTCCTCATTTTACTTCCCATTGTTTCTGACAAGCTCTACACTTCAAGGTAAAAGGAGTCCTTGAGGAAGTACGCCTTCCAAAGACAAATGGCTAATAAAACAGACTGAAAAGTAAATCAAATTTTGCAAGGTTTGTGAGACACCTAAAGAAAGTCTATAAAAACTGTCAAGCTTGGTTGTGATCTGCCCTGGTGATAAAGAATCCAAAGGAAAGGGACTCTCTTTAGACAGGGCAAGGAACCATTTTTCTGGCCATACGGTATATGATTAGCACAACTTAACGATTAACATATACCCTCTTCTTGTAAACATGGGCCAAAGCGTGGCTCTCCCATACCTGTAGCAGTCAGCTCCTGCAGCTTGCACAACAGAAACCTTGCTTTCCTCCCCTATTCATTGCACTCAGGAAGGGCACCAAGGTGGCCTGCAGAGATTTATAATCAAAGGCTTCCTGGCCTGACCTTTGCTCAGCTCGGAGGATATCACAAGTAAGCACCAAAGAGACTCCATATATAGCTGTAGAAATACCAGTGCAGCCCTTAAATGGCAGAACTATCTAGAAGATGAAAGTGATTTTTTCCTACAATATGAGCAATACTTGCCAAAACATGTTGATTTCTACGGGGTCTTTCATTTTCAGGAGTTTTCACTGGAAAAGGAGTTATTAAATTCTTAAAGCCAAAAATCTCAACTTATAAAACTAAACAAATGAGGGAAATCAGTCTTAAGGAGGTTTCAAAACATTAATCCCACGTTCAGACCAGCTTTAGGCACTGGCAGGAAAGCAGAGGAGCCTGACCTTCGGCAAATACAGTCAGCTTGCAATTCTCTTCCAGAAAACCAGTCCCTGAAGCCATCACTTGCACCTCATGGGTCAGGCTGTACCGCAGAGTGTACAAGCACATGGGATCACACAACAGGAATAACCAGGAAAACGCCTGCTCCAGCAGCCAGATGCATGGAAAGGGACCTGGGTTGTTATCCAGGCACACAAGGATGCACTCATCTGTGGATATCACCCCAACCCCATGAGAAACAACCACGTTTAATTCACCTCTGCTTACGCAAGGCTGGGCTGCTCCCGTCTGCAAATAGCTGGGGAAGGGCAGGCGTCTGCCGCACAGTGGGACTGCTTCCAACACTGCCTCTTGCCACATTTCACATCCCCGCTGGATCAACTCAAGGGAAAAAAATGCCGTTGGGAGGGAGATATTACAGGAATAACTCCCTGCTCTGTCCCACACGCTCTGTGGTGAAAAGGCGAGGCCCGCAGCGGGGTGTTGTGGCTGATGGCCGGCCCTGGGGACACGCAACAGGCCGCTGATGGCAGACCCACGCAGGCTTTGGCCCCAGCTCTGCAGCCTTCGCTCGGCAGCTGTCCTGTCAGCCCCCTAATTGCTGGAGGAATAAAGGAGCGCAGACAGCAGCTAATTTGCCTGTCTCATCTGCTTGCGTGGTGAGCACCTCTGCGCACAGGCAGCCTCATCTCTGCGAGCACCTGAGAACCGAGGGGCAGCAGTAGCGCAGCCGAGTCACTGGGATAGGGGTCTAGGGTGGCAACTCGGGGTGGCGGGGTTCAGAAACAGCCTAGTCCCCGTTAAATTTGCACATGAAGGGGGTTATTTTACAAGGAGGTGAGAAAGGCAATAAAATGGCGGCCGGGCTGCAAAACCCCGCCTCGGCCCCCAGGGGGCGTCGTGCCCCCCTCCCCCTCTCCCGCCTCAAGATGGCGCCGCGCTGCGCGGCTTCACCCGCCGGGGAGAACGGGCGGCGCCTGCCAGGCCCCGCCGGCTTCCGGCGCCGGCCCATTTCCTGTAGGGCAGGTCTTAACCGCCGCCCGCCGCGCTCGGAGGGCGCTGCCGCCGCCGCCGTCCGCCCCGCCTCCGCGGCATGCCCACGCCGGGAGCCGGCGGCGTGAAGGGAAGGAGGCGGCGTGCGCCTCTCAGCCGAGGCTGCGAGGAGCGGCGGCGCTTTTAGTCCTCCTGCGGCGATCTTCTCTCCGCTGAGACCGCCCGTGTGCGGGTCGCGTAACGGAAGGCGGGTGGGCGTTGGAGGGGAGCGAGGCCTGCCAGGTCACCCCGCCGCTCCCGGACGGAGCGGGCATGCGGGGATAGCCCATCCCGCAGCCAGCCCAGCCAGCGGCAGCTCTTCCCCCCCACCCATCCCAGGCCCGCCGCCCCCCACCCCCCGGCCCAGCATTGGTGGTCGCTGCGGAGCTGGCTTCAGGCGGCCCCAAGATGTTCAGCTGGTTGGGCACCGATGACCGCCGGAGGAAGGACCCCGAGGTGTTCCAGACGGTCAGCGAGGGCCTGAAAAAGCTCTACAAAACCAAGCTGCTCCCCCTGGAAGAGCACTACAAGTTCCATGAGTTCCACTCACCTGCACTGGAGGATGCCGATTTCGACAATAAGCCCATGGTGCTCCTCGTGGGGCAGTACTCCACCGGGAAGACCACCTTCATCAGGTAAATGCCTGCCCCCTTAGTGCCCGTGGGCTGTGGTGGGGCTGCTCTCCTACCCGTCTTCTTGCACCCCGATCCTTCTGTTCTCCCCTTCGCGCCCCTGGTGCCCATTAACAGCTTTCCCTTGGGAAGCCACCTCCCCTCAGACTCTGGGAGTATTCCTTCGCTAGGACAAGGGTGGTGTGAGATGTCCCATGGAACACAGACGTGGCAAATGCGGGGCAGGAATGCAGGCAGGGCATTAGTGTGGAGACGTGAGTCAGTTGGGGCCCTCTTGTCCGTTCAAAGTGCAAAGGCTGCGGGAAGCCTGGTGCAGGGTATCCCTGAGACTGCTCCGGTCAGGGTAAAGCCCCTCTGACAGCTGTTGTTTTCAAGTTTTGGGTG